TTTATCGTCTTTTTAGTTTTCTTTCACCTGTTTTCTTACATTTATAATAAAAATAACTTAAGCTAAATGCTATGAGTTATGACCGACAGAACAACTTTGATGTCCGTCATGCTTGTCTTTTTAGAACAAACTAACGCACTCTTAAGCGTGTGGATGGCGACATTTGATTCCCATGTAGACAGAGAATAGTATAGATACCGCCATAGTTTCCATCGCATTCACACATAAAAGAGATAAACTTATAGCAAGCGCCTGTGTAAAAGTGAAACAAAGCGATACTATTTTTGTTTCGTGTCGCTTGTCGATTCTTTCAAGTCAGCAAAGTAGTTTGCTAAACAACGTTTGACAGCTTGACGATTAAACTTGCAATTTATTTGAGATATCTTGTATTATTTCAAAGATTTGATATAAAATTTGAATGCTTTAGCCTATATAATAAAAAGTGACAGTCGTCTACAGTTCAATGAAACATGGTGCGTTGTAGTGTTTCAAGACGCAAAAGTCATAGTGCAAAGAACCTGCTAGATTTGTCTTCTCATTCGTAAGTATTTGGTACTTAATTAATGCATTAACCTTTGTTTTATATGGTATATTTTGTATTCCATGTGAAAACTTATGCGCGTTATGTTAAAAATGGATTTGAATGAAATAATTTAACATTTTGATTCTGTAATTCTCCCACATGACTCAACGAATGGACATCAAATCGCATACATATAATTGTAGACAGAGAATACCACTCTGTCTACGGATTCCTAAAATCAAGCCAAACGTTGTAGATATTTGAAGTTTGCGGCCAGTGGTGAGCGTGCGGACGCGGCATAAGGTTGAAACACTGTTAGAGACAGTGTTGGAATTTTTTACCATGTTTAGGGGAGGGCACTAGATTTAAGAGGGGGCCCATATTCTTGTTTTTCCCTTCCTAGATATTCCTATGATGGTAATAATTATACTTTTTGATTCCCCCTACGCATAATAAATAAATACAAATTTTAAATTTTGATGGATTATCATAGGAATGAGCAATTCATGTTTATAATATGTTATTGGTTTGTCAGAAACAGCTCTAAGGATTTGGATGAAACTTTGTTTTTAAATATATTTTACTTTCAAAATGTTCCTAGATAGGTGTCATCCTTGAGGTATTTTTATTATATTTTACGCCGAGCAAAGCTCGTTCGCCCGAGTACCTTATTTAAAAGTAGAAACAAGTATTATACGTGATAACTTATGAGATAGAAAGTATTACTATTATTATTATTAGTGATTAAATATTGTGGAGTAAATAATTTCATTTATACAAAAATAATTATACCAATACAATCTAGGTATTTAGTACTTATATGAAATCTACACACATTTTAAAATCAATACCTTAAACAATAAAATATTTAAATATGTATGATACACGTGTTTTCTTAAAATTATATGACACAAAAATATAAGATGTGTAGTGGTGTATTAACAAAACTATTTCATATAATAATTTTAGGCTTAGGTGTAAACTACCATTATCTGTAAAGGATATTTTTAAGAAGGACCGATTTGTATTTTGTTACATGCATTATATTAACTTGACCTGTATGTGTTTATATATGTGTGAATGTAATTTAATTTTGTAATTCAATTTCCACCCACTTCCAGATATCTCAATAATTTGAAATTTTGCAGACGTTTAAAGAACCGTTAACAATACAGTAATTTCAAAACTATTAACTTATATTGTCACTAAAACTATCACAACTCGTGATCAATGCGTGTTGATTTAGTTTTCTTAAACTATAATATTATTATTTTGAAACGGTAAAAATTTTTACCGCAACAATAATCGATCCATCTGCATCTATTTTGATGATACGATACATTCATAAGTAGGTATGTATATTTTTTATTATGCAACTAGTAACCCGCTCCGGCTTCGTATGTATATGATCTATTAAGGGCCTATACTACCTCAGCTCAAATTCTAATTTCGCTCCCACTTCCCCGCGCGTCGTATGCTATCTACCAACATGTTTATAATCATTAATACTGTAATTAGATAAGTCGTTAGATACTTATTTCATTAGGTTTACCATATTTATTCCGGTTTCTTTACGCCAATCCAGTCGTTTCTTATTTTTATTATGGTTATTTCCAATTTTTATTTTACGTTGTCCTGTTACGCAATGTGTATTCTGATAGTAAACGACACAGCTTTCTAGTTCGAAAGCCGAAGCAAGACTGAGCGGGACTGCGGGGTATCGGGCGGCAGGGAACAAGCTTCAGGACGACGATAGTTTAGGTAATTTCTTTTTATTTTATATTTATGTACTTTTTGATTTATAGTTAGCTCAATTAGTATGCAAAGTTTCATGCTCTAATTTAAAATATTTTGTGAATAGCAGCGGTTTATTGTTCGGTTTGGAGGTAACTATCGATTTTTTCTATCGAGAAAATTTTATGGAATCATGTTTTCGTCTAACATAGTACTTAACATTAATCTCCAACTTTACTGTATATTTATTTCAAAATTAATGCTGCTATATCATCGGCATAACGGAGGATTTTGCTTAGCCATTTCAGGCACTATAGGCCCTTAATGTGACGTTATTTAGATTTGAGATAATCAAAATCATTTCTTTTAGAAATTCGAAAATTTTAAAAATTATAAACTAAATTAAAAATATAATGGTGGCATTTTGGCGGAAAAATGAGCGCTGGTCCTTTCGGTAGATAATGGTTTAAAGTTGATAGTGGTACGTAAAAGTAAGGCGATTTTGTGTATTATTAAGTTGCTGCGCATGTGAACGAAATAAGTGCTTCAGTGTTTATAAAGTAGTGTTTATAAAAACCTCAAGTTTCTTTCCCGTTTAAGCGGCTTAAGAACTAGGAACACTATTGTCATCAACTGTTTGCTAGCATAAGCTGTCTTCGAAATCTCCTAAAAACTGCAATATGCTGCATAAATATATTGTGAGGAAGTTTTGGAACGAATTATTTTAAATGATAATTTCTTACTAATTTACGCTGATAAAAGTACAACTGTATCGTAACCATTACAAAAGAAAAAAAAAACGCTAACATAAATTCTCAATGAGTTAAAGTACATTGTATCAATCGTTCCAAAAATACAGAAGTATGTACATAAATATTTTTTTTATCATCTTTTGATTCAAATTTGAGTGCTTTGTCCTCGCCTTATTAATAATATTAATTTAAAATCTCTCTTGTGAATTAATTTCTAAAGTGTTTAAAGCACAAATATATAAAATAATTAAAAAAAGGATAGGCACCTTATTCTAGAATTTAAATTTTATATCTAATACTCTTGCAATTTCATCCTCATTATATGCTTCCTTATTACTAGACAGATCTATCATCCACACAACTAAATTCAATTGAGTATTCCCGAGCAATTTAAAGGGATAAAACACTACCAACCACACGAAATGAGCTTATACGACCAGTCTCTGAAAGCTTAGACTTAAATTAGCAGTCGTGTAGTTTAAATGTAATACAGGTGCGATAGTAGACTATATTATAATTTTCCTTGTTACAACTAGGCGGTACAGTTCTATGTATAGATGTGGAAAAGTATCAGGATGGTCAGTATAGTGCTCATGAAGCACATCGACACTGGCAGGAGTACTGCGATTCGGAGTGACCTGCGAAGAAGATATTGTTTAGGTGTATAAATATTATTATTATATTGTGATATATCCAACCCTGTTTGTTTTAGGTATAGTCGGATACAACAAGTTGGAAACTAGAAGAGATCTAGCGCTGGTAACCTACATTTTAAGGGTGTTCCGTGGTTACATCAGGAACCCGGGTGTGCTGCAGTGGATAGGCTTATGCGTGCCTGATAGGTATGTATAGAGGCGACGGCGGCCGAGATTGCTCGCGATGCCACGCGGCAAGACTAAACTGGTTCGCAATACCCCCCTCACGCGAACGATACACATACTAAATTTGGTAGCTGAGAAGTTGGGCTTATTTTCATGTTTACGGAGTGAGTTCGCAAAAGTGACATTATTTACAATATGTTATTCTTAAATTGTATTATACAATTAATTGGAATGTATTGTCATTTAAATTAATTATTATGTATTGTTATTTAAATTAATTGTTGTGTTGTAATTAGTAATCTTATACCATTTGAATTGTTACTTTTGAATTGAGATGCTACATTTATCGATTTAGGTTTTCCCTGTAATGGTAGATGTTAGTAAGAAATATAAATAAATAAATAAATAAATATATGATTTTTAATCAGCCTGTTAGATTAAAATAAACTATACGATGGGTAGGTAATTATTTAACTAATTAGTCAGCACTTAATTATTCGATAAGCTAGTGAACCAAGAACCGGAAATAGAGAACATGATACAAACATAAATCGTAAGTACTAACAATCTTGTTTTGTGGGTAGGTAGTAAAATAAAATATATCAATTACCTTACAAACAAGTTATTAAATTACCATCCCATCTTATTCTCTACAATAATCAAACATGAGAGTGGTAGTGATGTAGTAAGTGTAAAGGTAAATGAAGCTATATTAACAAGTGCTAACCCGATCATATAAGTTAATTATTCGAAGATACATTTCCCTCTCTTCTTTCATTTCTCAAATTTCTGCAGACTTGCCATGTCTTTGAAATGATAATTCCTTAGATAATTTAAACGTAGTTACGCAAAAATTGCACAATCCACAAGTAGGTGTTGTGTCAATATTGCAGGTTTCGTCGCGATGTTTTCCTTCACGTTCGACGCATGCGTCATATGTTGTTATTTTGTGATAGCGAGATCCTTCCTCGGTCGAGTTATAGATTGGTTTTACTACATATATGTATGTATAACCACGTAAACCTTACTGACTTTAAATAAGAACATTGTAAGTAGAAAAAAATCACTTGAAAAATTTGGGCATAATTAGACAAATTTTTGGCGACTTAAAATAAGTTAGAGCTGGCAACACTGAAAACTGAGCGTGTCGCACCTCCAGTAAGGCGGACGTCAGAGCGGCGGGTTGGGCTGCGGCTCGCTGCGGCACAGCGCCGTGCTGACATCAGCCGCACTCGCGCCCGCCTCTGCTCCCGCTTCCGCTCCCGCCTCAGCTCCCGCTTCTTGCGCTTCTGCACTCTCGCGACGTACCTTGCCTATTTTCATACAAAACAAATCGCTATATGAGAGTTTTGGTGAGAACTTGCCCACCGGCGAAGTTGCATTTTGAAGTTAAAACTAATATTTAGGCGTTGCAGTTTAAAAACTCTAGCAAGACAACAAACATATACATCTATAAAATAATAACACCGGCGAACCGTTATAGCCATTCACTACTGCTTTTTTGTCTTAAGAAATATTTTTATTTTATTTAACAAATTAACATTGTATACAATTTACCATATTGAGTAAAATTATTTTATTATACCAATCCACGAATTCATAAATTCATGCCATCTAGCGTCTATTGTATGAACCACCTTGAGCGTTTATCAAATTTCGTTCGATAAAAAGACTACCTATAAAAAAGCATGTCTACTTGAAAAAAAAAAAAACATTATTTTGATAAATCAATATCAGTACCTACACTAAAATTAAGTAAAAAATAAGGATTGTAATATCTATTTGCTATAAAATTATACTTTTATCTTATATTTTATGCCGTACTTGTGGTTAATGAAAATAATGATTTCTTATGTTTACGCGAACACTACACATTGAAATAATACTAGTTTTTACAGAATTTGTCGCGTATTTTAACTTTTTAAATACCCGACGTTTCGAACCTTCAACACCGTCACGCGCGGGACTGCTTGACATGAGTGCTGTAAAGCGTTCGAAACGTCGGGTATTTAAAAAGTTAAATATACGCGATAAATTCCGTAAAAACTAGTATTATGTTAATGAAAATGGTCATGTTTCACTTTTACCGCGTGTGAACTGTACACGTTTTATTATGAATGGAGGTGACAACAGAGCATACAGTCCACCTGATGGTAAGATAATACTGTGGCTCGCACTCACCAACATTTATCCTCGGTTAAGAACAAAAATGCAGATGCGTTGTCGCTCCTGAGGACTACGACGGATTGCCTCGTTTCCAGTAAAAAGGGGTTGTTACTCCTATTTCATTGTTTAAATAATGATTTGAACGACAATAGTCGAAAGTGATACGATTTTGTGCACATGTGAACAATAACAAGAAATGATGAGTTCTCTGATAGAACTCAAGGTATAGGTTGTCTTCAAAATCTCCCAAAAATTTTGCAATGTGATGAAACAACATATTGTTAAGTTTTTATAAAAAATATTACATAGGATAATTTCTATTTACCCGATATTAGCAAAAATACAATCGTACGAGTCCATAAATAATTAAAAACGCAATGTGATAAAAAATATTAGCAAAACGAATGTTGCTACTTCATATACGAGTATACACTAAGACCAACTCAACAGAGATTATTATAGATTTTTTTAAATTGATAATCTAAGACATGTATAAAAATTTAGTTTACTAAGTAGAGTATATTTTCTGAATAGGAATCCCATCAGTATGGGTAGATTTAAACTGGAACCTGCATTGCACCTACTGCTTTTATTCCCTTTGTTTTCGGTCTGAAGGATAACAAACTCACAAATGTTTACAGGTTACGAAGCATTTTGTCTTAATCCTCAGGAATGACAACAAATCTGTGACTTTTTTACAGTTAGTTGCAGGTACCCGTAGGTACCAATTTAAAGATAAAAAATAAAACAAATAAATTTTTATTATGCACTTCCCCAATAAAATTTTTACTAAATATCAAGTTTTAAAGTATTTCAGCGCTTAAAATGATAAAGTTAAGATATATCTAATGAAATGATGTATTATCGAACGAATTATACGAGAAGGAAACGACCCCTTGTGCAACGGCGAAAAGGCCAAGCCACCCCCGGATTAAACGAAGTGCTGGCGCCGTAGTGATGGGTTCTTTGCTACCGAACTTCTGTTTACTATTTATATTCGTGTTTTATTACAATAACCATAAGAATAAAATAGTATTCTATTTTATTCTTAGAATTGTAAAACATCTGTTTAACAAACACAATAAAGAATAATAAAATAAAAGCAAAATAATAAGTCTCCGGGTGTACTGAAACTGTCTTAGTGAACAGAATATACTTTATACTGGTCCTAAATCACTTTTCTAATTTATTTTTTACTTACTGGTAAAACAAAGGCACCCGGTTTGCTGGCTGGCTTGCAGCGACGTTGTTGGTCGAATCTCCTTTTGGTCTTTCGATTGCTCATTCAAGCATTTTTGATAGTAGTCATATTCTTTCACGTACCTGTAAGTTGTCGTTGGAAATAAAATAAATAATAATGTAATATGATGGATAAAATATCATGTATTATGATTTTTTGATTACTAAGTCATATAATATGGCATTTCATGAAGTTTTTCTGCAGACTTCGTAATGAGTATATCCACAGTAAAACGAGAGTAACCGACACAGCCTAACGGATCAGTACGCTGAAGTGGTAATGAGTTCGAAGAACCAAGTGGCAGCCTCGTACCGGTAAGTGAAGTGTCAGGCGGTCTACTACTAGATATAGTGACGAGCTGGTAATAGATGCAATAATTCAATTGGATGCAGGTGGTTTAGTACCAGGCTTTGTGTTATTCCTTAGACCTCCCCCAATGTTCAGTAGTGAACTTGTGATGAGCTGTCATGATGATTAATAATGCAGTCATATGTTTCATTGCTCGTTAAAAATCACTCATATCAATCGTACAGTTGTATTACGCACCAATCCAATATCTGTCAATGTCACTTGCAAATGGTGTACTCTGCTGTTTGACGAATGAGGCTCCGACGACCCAAATCCTACAGAATGGTGATGGTAGCAGCATTACCAGTGCCAGTGTGAGAGTATTGTTGTCTTTGCGCTTATTAAGCCATTAATATAAGTAATCTTCAAAAAATGTGTGTGCTGAAAATACATCTTAAAAATGTTTAAATCCAGATGACAAAGATGACAAAAATAAATTTATCGCATTATTTCATTTACCTACCTTTTCCAGTCACAATTTATTAAGTAAAGTAAATCAAAAAAATTTATAGTTTATAGACTAAGCCTTGTAATGTATATAAACTATTATTTTTCATTAAATACCTTGTGATAATTAAAATAATATTTCAAGTCAGCGCTGATTTATATTAGCGATGGACAAAAAAAAAAATAGAGAAAACCGACCTATATGAAAAATAGTAGATGAAATAATTCTTGGAATCGTTCTTCTTTAATCCTTACAGGAGCAGTGTAGCGGAATCAATCGCGAGCCAAGCACCATCTTAATAATACGAGATACGAGTGTCAAATTTTAGTAGGACTTTCGTTGTGACAACTATCTTTTCAAAATTAGTTCTTCGAGCACGTAACATTGATAAATATTTTATTTATATTTTGATACAAGACTATTATAATTTTTATCATAATAATTTCTTTATGCACCCAATGATGACCAAGACCGAAAGTTATACAAATTTTGACTTTTTAATTCCCGACGTTTCGGGTGCTTTACAGCACCTATAATCACGAGGAAGACTGCGGTGTCCGACATCCCGATGTCACAGTTGACCCAGCTACATTCAGTTTTAGAATACAAATTTTTGGTCCGACCTACGGAGAATGAGTTTATAGTATCGTTGCGCGCCATAATTAATGCTACTAGCGCCATCTAGTATCGAGTAGCAGAACTAAACTTTCTAGAAAATTCCCACGATCGACACGACCGAGGCAGTATAGAATTGGCGATCAAGCGAATACTTCGATATTCGGTAATTAAAGAGTCAATTTTGGTAATTTAACAGGCAGTTTTTATTGTCACGAACCCCAAGCTCGTAACAGCATCTTAGAAGTCTTGCGTTGGTATGCTTGGGTTTGAAAATAGTTTTATTTATTATATGATCCCAAGCAGATGGCAGCACCTATACATATTCTCTATTGAAATTAGGATGTTTTTTTTATATTTCAATAGTCTCGAGAGTCAACCTCGGTAGGAATCGGTGTTCTTTTGCGAGATTTATGGTCTATCAAATCCAATGTAATGGCGGGGAAGATCTCGAAGATGTTCATAGACTGCAGACTTCTGCAGAGTTCTTCCGAAGATGGATGGGTGCTGCCGTCTATTTGGGATCATATAAAAGTAAAAAAGTTACGTCCTATATACGTCCCACTGCTGGGCTCAGGCCTCCCCTCATTTCTGAGAGGGTTTTAGGGCAAGGAAGTGTCCGCCGCGCTGCCCAAATGCGTGTTGACGAACTTCACATGTCTTCGAAATATTTTTTTTCTTATTCCTCAGACATGCAGGTTTCCTCACGATGTTTTCCTTCACCGCCGAGCACGTGGTAAATCAGCACTTAAAATTGCAATTAACAATTTCATTGGTGCCGGCGGGGATCGAACCCGGGTTACTCGCGTTCTGTTATATTTACAGCGAGCGTTAACCACTGAGCTACCACGGCTATTTGGGATCATATAATTAATAAAATTAAATCCAAACCCAAGCATACCACTGCAAGTCTTAAAGATACTGTAAGCTCATTCTGCGTAGATCTGACCAAAAAATAATATTCCAAAACTGAAAGCATGGCTAACTATGATATCGGGATCTCAAACACTTTAGTCCCCCGTCACCATGGGTACTGTAAAGCACCTGAAACATCGAATATTAAAAAGAAAAAATAGTTTCATTTAATGTGTAGTGTTCGCGTAAATATAAGAAGTCATTTAATAAACCAGCTTACCAGACAGGCGGCCAGCGGTTGTCAGCAAGATATTCCCTCGAGGCTTGACTAAGATGTCTCGCTCGACATACTCGATCGTATGCACCACATAAACGCCAAGTGCACCAATCAGCTAGACTGTGAGCGTTGTGCAACTGAATAAGGGAAAATTATGGTAATAAATAATAATAAAAGTGTTTTTACGTATGTTAAGATATTCCATCTTAATCCCCAGGGGTGACGACAGCCCATGTGCATTCTTAACCAAGGATAGATGTAGATGTCTATGGGCCACAACATGTACTTACTGTGGCGGACTGTGTTCGCTTATCATCCTTATTCTCTAAAAACATTTTCCGTTATTACCCATCGAACTATTTACTAGCGTTTACAAAAGTTTGCTTCATTTTGGTAAGAGTTAGAACTAAAGTTCGCTGCAGCGCTAAAATAATAGTTACGTCGTCTAACCAAACTATTAAAACATGCAGCGCTAGTTTGCATTAGGGATTAGTTTTTTCGCGACCAAAACGTCATAAGCGCCAGGAATTTCATGGGCTTACGCGTATCTTTCAACGTAGTATACAACAAGTGGCTTCGGTCGATTTTACATTTTGCCCAATCCTCGTGAGCATTGTAACAACGCGAAAAACTTTAAATTAAAGAGTTTTAAACGTTTTAATGTATACTTATCGATGAAATGTTAAAGCATCACTTTTTATGTTCTGGAGTGTTTACTGCAGTTTTAAAGAACACAATCAGACATGTTGAAGTTGTTATTTATGCGAAGCGGACACGACTCGTCTGTGCGGGCGTTGGACACTCGCTAAACAGTTGCGGTGCAGTGTACCGCAAGCGTGGCGCAATATCATGCACGGCATAGTCTTCTCTATACGTAGTAGTAATAACTCAATGTTTTAAAACCTAGTTTGAGACGTAATGTCTCGTAATCTGTTATTGATAATTATATTTTGCTCTATACTTCGTAAACTGAAACAACACCTACTCAGTCGCATTTCTAGGTAAAAAAAGTTCTAATACCAAGTCAATATCATAACATAGTGAATACCGCGCTAAAATTATCTAGTGACATTTATTATATTTACCATCTTATATTGTCTACTTTTGGATACTGGCCGTTGCAACAATATGTGTCCTGTCACATACGATTTTCATTATACTCTATAAATGTTTTCGACGAGTTTTCGCTTTCGCAGAAGTAAATAATAATGTAATAGTTTTTATATAGATTGAATAATAATGTATACCTTTACAGGCTCCAATAAAGACAGCGCTATTTCGACCACTTGATCATCATCGCCGCATACTCTGTAGAATAAAAACAAATTGTGTTATGAAAATTCCGTAACCAAATTATAATATACTGGCGATCAGTCCCGGTTTCACACGACAACAGCGCCACCTACTACCTAATTGAGTTTTTAAACCATCCAGGAAGCCATTAAAATACACACAAAAAATTCATCAAAATCGTTCGAGTTGTTTTCGAGTTTTAGCAAGACTAACGTATATCAATTGATTTTTATAAGAAGATAATTGATAGAATCAGGCGTTACTTTGCGGAAATCGATTACAATAAAGACATTAATTAATTCGCAACCTTCCGCTAATTAAATACAATGATGTGTCTTACCTGGATTGAAGAGCATCTCCCGCCCTCCCTCAATTGCGTGCACTAATCCCGTCACCACTAATCCCAGCACCACTACTCCCCATCCCGGCACAATCCCAACACCACTACTCCAGGAAAGACACACCATCGACGACAATACGACACGTGTTTCGCCTCTACACGAGGCATCTTCAGGTGATGTAGACTCTACGGCGGCTGACCACTAAGTTTGCTAAGTCTTTATTTTATAAGAAGAAAGAAGAAAAGATTATTGATGCTATAGTATATTTGGTTACGGAACAACACAATTTACACAATAGAACAAAATTATATAGTGACTGAATAAAAGAAATACTTTAGCGTCTGCTGACCTGCGAACCACGTGGAACCGGTATTTATGCAGTGTATAAATACTTATATAGGGTTAAAAAAAAACGACTGTTGTGTAGTTTGGCGTAACAGAATAAACTACCTCATATCAGCCGATGCATGTCGTGATGATGAATACTGAAATAGGAAATGGGCAGCGTCTTCTTACCCATAATAATTTAAAAAAATACTGGGATTGCCAATCCGCCGGCCAAGGGTGGCAAATATGGTAGATATCCCCCCCGTGAGGCAAAATGGGCTCTTTTTAATTATTATAAACCAGTGCCTGACTCTTATCCCGCTTTATGGTATGTTTTGATGCTTAACAAAGTCCTATTTTATGGTTTACCATTGGACTATAATTATGATGATGATGATGACGAACATTTGTTTTAGGTCTGACCGTTTTTTTTTTGCTCAATTTATGCAGGAAAAACGCACATAAGATACGGTAGAACGTACTGCAATCAATCGCACAGAAGACCATCAAATTATAAGTTGTGTCTCGCTAGCGACGCAAAGTCAGGAATACCCTTTTAAAAAAAAAGGGGCTTTTTACTGCTTACCTTTATTAGCACTTAATTCCTTGCTACTAATATTTCTCGTATATCTATTATCGTCACTGCGTTGCTAGCAATACGTTTTGCCAGTAACGCAAATTCAACACTTCTTTGCGGTGAAAAAATTTCAGAGCACTTAAATTTTAAACATGACACCTAAAAAGCACCTAAAAGCACCTAATTTTGGCTTTTCGAAAATCTGACAGATTTTTCGAAAATCTGATTTTTGCGTCTGCGTTGTTCTGAATAACAATTTTTTTTATTAGGGGCGCCGTGTCATTGCCTATACCTGCAGCACCTAATTAGCACTTAATTCCTTGCAATTAATATTTATTGCAACTGCGTTGCTAGCGATACGTTTTGCCAGCAACGCAAATTTTAACAGTTCGTTGCGGTGAAAATTTTAGAACACCTAATTTTTAAACTTGGCACCTAAGCACCTGAAAAGCCCCTAATTTTGAATTTTGGTTTTTTCTAAATGAAAATTCCAGACTTTGCATGTTCTAGCGAGACATAACTCCAATTATAGTTATAGAAGGAAAATATGTGAGGGTTAAATAAAATGCACAGAATTTTTCTGCCATCAGGGCTGCCGCCACTTGGAAATAAGGTGAAATATTAATAGGTTTCACAGCAGGGGAGGTTAATTTGTTAGAAATAGTTTTTATTTCAGAAATATTAGTTATATTTGAAATGAATTAAATTAGAAATAGATAAACCAACCTACAGATATTCCTATTAGTAGAAAAACTATGAAAAAGTTAACAGTATGTACCTAAAAAATTAAAGAATACAGCACTGAGACATTGTATTGAGTATATACGAAACTAGTAAAAAATTATAACAATCGCAATTTTTAATGATGACAGATAACAAAACAAAACTTAAACCCAACTAGCGCCATCTGTTGAACGTAAGACTATTAGCCACCATTGTCACTGTCAATCAGATACAATTGACGCAATGATTTAAGTATTTTCAATGATCACACAGTTTTTGCTTTAAATCATACAAGTAAAGGTTATGACGCGAAAAACACACAAATTTATTTTTAGAAGCTGTATCTCATGAATCGATCTCTCTCGTTTCGTTGGTATCTTAAAAGTAAACCAAGGCCCTAAAATATAAAATATGCTCCTGTCAAGTAGTAGAAGTTACCTGTCCTGATGCTGCAATTGTTCTATAACTCTAGCCTCAACCAAGTTCACCAAGCGGTTCATGCAAAGTCGGTTGGCAAGTTCCAACAGTTCGAGGCATCTCGTAGGCTCCACAGTTGGTATTTTGTCGGAATATATATAGCAGAGAAGTATTTGGAACGCGTACATCTTCACGCCGGGAAATGAGATCTGAAAGAAGAAATGATAAATTATGTCTTCTTTGTTCATCAGTTATTTAGTTCCAATTCAGAAACGCACAAATAAGATCTCCTTCAAAAGAATAGCTCATAAACATTAACTATAGAAATACTCCAACTGATTATTTGAACATTTCTTTTTCTTATTTAAATGTTATTTTGTGTGTGTATTTTATTACATATTCTATTTATTTTATATTAAGTCTACTCTAATTGTATTAAGTCGTAACAATATAAATATTTATTTATATATTTGCATTTATTTTAGGGGTTACAATTACATTAATGAATAAATAAATAGCTAAACTGAACTATCCACGAACTGCTATAATAATACCAAATATGGATTCCTGGACCCATATTAACGGTACTCAGTCAATCAGTCCATAATTACCGTTTATATAGTCCATAACAAATTTAACGGGAAAAAAACATTAAAGAGAAATGTCGGTGTTGATCAATTTCTTTATGTTTGGCTCATCCTCGTGGTGCATCCACACTTATTTGATAATTCCTTTTTCTTATAGAAGAAGAGAAGAAGGAGAAGAAGAGGGGACAAACGAGCACGCGGCTCAAGTGATGGTAAGTGACTACCCCGCCTATGAACAACCGCAACACCAGGGGAATTGCAGGTGCGTTGTCGGCCTTTTAGAAAGGAGTAAACTCTTTTCTTGAAGGTCCCCAGGTCGTTTCGGTCCATAAAAATCACTGGTAGTAAACGATTCTACAGAGAAGTTGTACTAGGAAGAAAACTCCTAGTAAAACGCAATGGTGTACTGCCAAGCATTCAGATGATGAGGATGGTGTCGTGAATTTTACGCGATGTGCGTTTGTGAAATTTGGCGGCTGGAATAAATCTGAACAATTCCTCAGAGTCCCCGTGGTAGATGCTAATGCAACGGGTGCAACATCCCTACGCAGTGCCAGTGAAGCCAGCCGATCAGAAAGAAAATGGCCGTCGACGATTTGAACCACTATGTGCTGGATGTGGTCAAGTGGAAGGAGCTGGCACTGGCGTGCCCCGGCCCAGAGATGAGAGCAGTATTCCATGTGAGATCCATGTGAGTCCAGTTTGACCTTCCCTTGCAAGTGACCACGAAACTGCACACTATTCGATATATCGACGCCAAGGATTCCGATGCTAGCTTGAGGGATTGCCTTGAAGCTGAAGTGATACGACAAAGGGATTCTTTTTAGCGATAAACGCGCAAACTTGTGTGTTCTAAAGCCCTATTAATAAACACAGACTTGAGCAAGATTAACTTTACTCCTAGTTTAAAGCTTAAAATATCTAATTTCAGTATTAATAAACATAGAGTAAGGAGGGAGTAAACTAATCCGAATCTACTCTCGGAATAAAAGTTAATACTTGGCGGTACCTAGTTTAACGACTGAGTAAGCATAGACTAGTCGCGTATTTTGACATTTTGTAAAACTTTACGTTTAAATTCATAAGTTGTAAGCACTAGTAACAAAAACAGCACAGTGGATTAAAATGCCAAAAAGTGATGTGTGTGTGATGCAGAACAAAGTGATGGCAGGTTTTTATTCATTATGTGGATTTAGATAAGTGATTGGGGCTATTGATAGCCACATATTAGAATCCCGAAAGTCACTGGAAACATCAGACAATACTACATAAACAGGAAAGGATACAGTTAAATAAATGTACAAGTAAGTTTTACATCACCTAGCAAGCCCACCTTTGCCATATAGGTACTTAGTTATTTTCTTAGATTCAATACAATCACCTCAATCTATTATTTCATATTAAAGAAGTTATGAGTGCTTTGTTCCAGGTTGTGTCAAATGCAAATTTAGAGATCATGGATATAGTGGCACATTGGCAAGGCAGCACAAATGACTCAACAATCTACACTAATATTATAAAGAGGAAAACTTTGTTTGTTTGTTTGTTTGATTGTAATGAATAGGCTCATAAACTACTGGACCGATTTTAAAAAATTCTTTAACCATTCGAAAGCTACATTATCCACGAGTAATATAGGCTATATTTAATTTTGAACAAAAATAGGGTTCCGTAAGATATTAGGGTTTTTCGGACACAAGGTGTGAAAAATCAACCAAAAAAAATTACTTATTTTGCGTACCCTGCCTAAACTATTAAAGATAGAACCATAAAATGTTCTAAGTAATTGTAGATCTTATAAATATCTATCACTAATACAGTTAATGTAGATAATATTTGGTCTTTGAATGAGTACCGGCCACACAATTAGTAAATAACTCCGTTAGAGGAAATTCTGTTCGGGCAGCATTTATTAACGATTTTTTAAAAATAAATATACAATAATTACATGTACAAAAGATTTTATTTATCCCCAAAAAACAAAACAAAAATGGTTATTTAATTAATTTTGCCCTTCACGCTCTTTTCTGAATTCTAAAATTTCATTACGAATAATATTAAAAATTATTATATTTAGAACTTAGTTTTTCCTCCGAGTCCGAAAACAACACGAGCAACAAAGAACAACGCGTAACACGTATCTCTTATCAAACTCAAAATATTGCCTGTCACTGTCATTAATGTCATCATCAAGCATTGAGTTCATTCACCAATCATTCTCTGACTCACTCTTTTTACTTTTAAAATAAGTGGGTTGACATAGCACAAACGTTAATCCCGGAGTAAGGAATGTATAGTTAGTCCGAGGTTACTCCATATTTATTAATAACAAAGTAAATAGTCAGTTACTCTGAGATTAGCTAGTCCAAGTGTAACTTCGAATTAAGCTTGGGATAAGCAATTTTTATTAATAAGGCAGCTAGAGATTAAACTGGACTAGATTTAGTAGCCCCCAATCCGCGACTTTGTTCAGCAAGGACTCGACTTCAGACAAGTTTGTTCCGATACCCGGCGATGTTTTCTCGAAAAATATTCGCACGACTGGTGTATAAGGGATCACCAATGCTATCGTCTACATAGTTATGAATGTAACCAGTTTGCAACGTATCATTGATATGCAGAAGAAACATAGTTGATAATAGCCTTGTGGAACACCAGCGTTAATAGACTTGTAGTCAGAGCATGCACCGTCTACTGCGACCTTGATAAACTGGTGATCCAATAGCATCCAATGCCTCGGTATGCCCATAGGAAGGGAGCTTCGAAAAAAGTGCTTTGTGCCACAACCGATCGAAGGCATTCGCTATATCTAAACTAACGACCAATGCCTCCCCCTTGGACTCTACTCCCTCCTTTGTAGTCTAATATGACTAGTTACATATTTATTTATTTATTTATTAGGTTCTCCAACAGTTATAATACAATACGTATATTACAACGAAATCTGCAATGTAAAAGTTAATGATTTCTTATGTTTACGCGAACACTACACATTTAGGTGTTTACTGTCACAGATTCCTCATGCTCTCTGAAACAAAAAAAAATCCCAAGTTTGCTAACCATTCTTCACAGTTAGCTCGCGAGACTATTGAAATCAAAAAAACATGCCAATTTCAATAGATAAGATGGCTGAGTGCTACCATCTGTTTGTGATCCTATAATAAATAAAATTAAATCCCAACCCAAGCATACAACTGCAAAACTTCAAGATACTATAAGTTTACATCACACTGCGTAGTTCAGACTAAAAATTAATTTAACTATGACATTGGGACGTCGATCAACTCAGCCATGACCATGGATGCTGTACACTGACCTCTATATATACACATACGCTGGCTATACACCGTGACATGATGAAGCGATTTGATTTCCGCCATTTTGGCGCTGACAGCAGAAGTGCACGTCCACGGAACTAATAATATGGATAAGACAGTGTACCAAATTATATCGATAAAAATTCTATACCCTACCTATACCTAAATAAATAGAATGGACTCTATGGATAGATGGAATCTGCCCGTAACGTCCATTCTATTTATTTATCATATTAATACAATGTGTCGTGAAGCGACAGTTAAATACTAAAGAACCTAACCTAACAACAACGAAACAACCAAAAAAGAAAATAATTTATTAAAATTTGTAAAGATATTTACAGTTTCTTTTATAAAAAAAAGGTATGAAGGTGATGATGGGCTGTAATGATGATAGTGAATTACAATTTAAAAAAAAAAAGAAAATAACAAAGATAAATTGAGTACTAAAACGATGTATGCACAGGCTATGCCTATGGTAGGCGCACAGCGTCTGATCTAGGTACACGAAGCGCTTGAAGTAGGCACACACAGCGCCCGGAGTAGGCACACACAACGCCCGGAGTAGACACACACAGCGCCCGGAGTAGACACGCAGCGTCTGGAGTAGGTACACGCAGCGTCTGGAGTAGGTAGACGCAGCGTCTGGAGCAGGTACACGCAGCGCTTAAAGTAGGCACACACAGCGCCCGGAGTAAGCACACACAACGCCCGGAGTAGACACACACAGCGCCCGAAGTAGACACGCAGCGTCTGGAGTAGGAACACGCAGCGTCTGGAGTAGGCACACGCAGCGTTTGAGGCAAGCACGCACAGCGACCAAAGATAGCGCGGGCACTAGTAGGTGGAGGCGTAGGCGTGGCTAGGCGACGACTTCAGGAGAAGGCAGAGGCTTGCAGGATCCCGAGGCAGTGCGGATTAGGCCTTTAGGAGGTGCTTCTCGTATGAAAGCTGAAGTGAGACTTGCTTTATTGGCCGATTGTTCGGCTTTTATTCTTTTTTTAGAGAGCTCCGCGTTCGACGACGGATTTGTGAAAAGAACGGGAAATTATTTAAATTAAAAGCAAATTTTTGTAAATGGCCAAGAAGAAAAGAGTATTTTTGTGAAAGTTTTGAAGTAAAAACATGAGACCGGTAACGAATTCGAATAAAAATTGCCATGACAACCAGATAAACAACGATGTCAAAACATGTCAAATTTTGGTTTTAGGTTCGTAATAAAGAAACGGCAAGATTTAAGTGAAAAATGAGATATTATTGATAAAGGAAAAAAAGGTAGCGCAACAGTGCGCACGAAGCCCGAAATTGCAGAGTTACGGAGAACTAAATAAAAGACCAAAAAAGGTAGACTCCATTGACACCGATTTAAAAAGTGCTGATAACGTGAAAATACGAAGTGAAAATGATTTTTTATTGTGTTCTTATGGTTTAAAAACGTTACAGGATCCTATGAAAATAAAGGTGATGCAAAATATCCAGTTTTGAGGCGAATGCAGAAAATCAAAAACAGAATGGAAAAATAAATTTAAAATAGTGTAAAATGATATGTAAGTAGCATAACACTACAAATGCCATTATCATTCATCATCATTAAAACCCTTCAAAGTCCACTGCTGAACATAGGCCTCCCCCAAGGAATGCCACAAAGCACGGTCCTGAGCTACCTGCATCCATCAACTTCCTGCATGTCTTAACAGGTTTTGACTCCATCGAACGGCACCTGCCTATTGTCGATTACACACAAAAAGAAAATCAGTGGTGGCAAATGGAGAAAAAGATCCGGAACAGACGGACGTAATGTTTTCGAATGATTATTACATGTTTATTAACAATTGAAGCCATCGCCAGCCGCGCAATGGCAGCCCCTCCTTATTTGCTGACTTCTCCTCCCCGTTTTCATTCCTAGATAAGGCGCACCAGAAACACAAGCCACACTGCTTTTCGCGGCCTTTAAGTCCACCTGCACTACGGACTCCCCGAGCCCGATATGTGAATGGAGCCAGAGAAAAACGAGCACTTGGAAGCATCAAGTGGTGCAGCCTCACCAAGATCGCGCAAAGGATAGTCGAGTGGTATCTCATCGCCAATCGCCATACCAACACTCCTCTTCCCTTACAACCCCACTTCGCCTACAGTGGTACAGGGAGAGGAATCTCTTCTAGCCGCACCCCCGCACTTAAAAAAAAAAAAAAAAAATGGTACTGGTATTACCAGAAAATATTGTCGGTGTACTGCACTTTTTTAAAGTGGTTTAGTTCTCATGTCTAATAAAACGGTCGTCTGTGAAATGTTTGGAACAAATATGATAATTTTGTTTCGGACGCCAATTCACAATATTTATGCTTTTAAGCCATAATTTTAGTCTAGGTTCAGTTGGAAACCTGTTAATTAATAAACATTTGATAATCATCTGTTGTTGGCGACTTTGTTTGTTTCGATAAGTATTATAGACAAGGAACTCGACAACCCTATTGAATTTTATTGTTTATCAAAACTAAGTAATATAAAGCCAAACATGTTGGTATATATGATATTAAGATTAGTAACAAATTTTTAAGTACTTACGAGTATATTACCAAATAGTTTTAATTTCTTTAATATTTACTGCAAATTCACTTACTTGTGAAATGTTATACCACTTTCCCTTTGGTAACGAGTTTTACAGATTACGCACACTCTCATTATTAATAAAAATAATTCTTTTTATGTAACTAATATTATACACAATCAAACAACATAAAATACTTTCGTTTTTTAGTTTAAAAGTTCAAAATACACACTTATTAAATAACACAATATAAATAAGATAACAGACTTTGGCATATTATGTCAATTTTATTTTTCAAGACATCCTTTAGCGGCGCTTCAAATTGGCACAGTCATTTTGTATGGTATAGCCAGTCCAGCGTACTTGTATATATAGAGGTCAGTGATGCTGTAAAATGCTCGAAACGCCGGGAATATAAAATAAGTTAACATAAGCGATAAAATCAGTAAAAACTAGTTTAATTTAGAGAATTTAAAAGTTACTTACAACTCTGGACGTGCTCTCCCGAAAATGCCCTTGAAACATCGCCTTCATGGGATCACATCGCGCCATCAGCATGGCTCTATGCGCTAAATGTATGCCATCGTCGAGATCGAATGTCACGTCCGCGAACAGATTACGTTCTACGCACATATCACGTAGCCTTTGAGGAAATGGCTGCAAGAAATTAAGTTAATCCATATATTTCTTAATTAAATATTTTGATGACGATAACGTAACGAACATAAGTACCCCCTAAAGACTGTCCCAAATCACAGTCTCGAACCACCTGCATCCATGTTTCATTATCTCGTCGCTCTATCTAAAGCAAAGTGGCGATTCGTTATCTGATTACAATTCTTCAATCTGTAATGCTGACTCATTGCAACTTTAGCATTGAGGTACTCAATTTTTTCACTCTGATTTCATCGCACAAAGGATCTCCCAGCATTACTTTAAATTTTAAGATTTTAAGGGATACAATAAGATGTGTAATAATTTACCGAAACTCCAACTTGTAGTAATTACTAGTTATACGTTAATTTTAAAATGAATTTATTAAGGCATCTTTTGAAAATGACCTAAAATGTCTAAATCATGATATCAATAAACAATAATATAATAATAAAGTACCTACCTAGGCATCATGAGTTTACAAGCTGACTGATAATTGTAATAGAGGATTTTGAACGAATGACAGTATAATTCTTTAACAGACATATGAAGGTTTTCAAAAAAGGTTATTTCGATATACAAGAGGTTACATATATGCTTTTCATAAAATATGTGATTCTTTTATTTTTAGCTAGTTTAATAAATAATATTCTGATATATTTTATAGTGCTCATAAAGAATCATGTCCAATTCTGACCTGAAAATTTTCGAAAGCGTCTAGTGATGTAAAATATCTTATAAAATTGCTCTTTTTTTGCTTATTTCGAATCGCATAATTGAATTTTCTAATAAAGCCAGGAAAAAGAGTAATGTTAATATGTTTATCACTTTCAATAGACTTTTGGAGACGGAACGAGTTCTACAATGACTTAAAGGCCCAGAAGCCATGCCAAAACATATTTAAAAAAACGTGTTTGTCAATGACAGTCCGTCATTTGTTTGAAGTTTTGCAGTCGTTCGTTAGCTTTCCCTACGTTTTGTACTGTGCGATTTTGGATTTTCTGATACCCTTACAACTTGCATTTTCCACGGACTTCGATACCTTCCACTCACGATTACTTTGGCCTGTGTAATACGGATACCGATTTAGCTTTTTGATTGGGATCTAAGACGTTATCGTACTTGTTGGAAAGCGTTATGGAGCCTTCTACGAGAATGCTATGTATAAACTGTAACATATGTATTAATACGCTTCAGCGTTATCGGGCCCTTCAGCTTGATAGCAGAGTCATCTCGCTAATTAGCACTTGGATATCTCCAGTAATAGTAAGTAGTAATAACATACAACATATAACATATAACATACAACAATACAATAGTAGTAGTAAGATTTTACCCATGTTTAGCTAAAGTGTCCTTTAGGACAGTTGTCTAAAATAAAAAATAAAACATGTAAAAATACAAATTAAATGTGCCTATTTCAATTTATGCTTTATAATCTCATAATTGATTTATTTTTCAGATTACGGAAGAGGACTACATTTGTGAAGCGTGCTTTGATGTATCCATGCAGTCTATTAATGCTCAAATTCATGGAAACAATGAGTGTCATCCATCTGCTTGTTCATCTCGCCTTGGTCATACTCAAGTGTGCCCCGTTTGTGGTCGATCATTGCTCAATCGTCAAAGTGACCATATTCACAAAGAAAACCCATCAAGCCTCACACTAAGAATGATCAACTTAATTCGAGCTACTGTAGCACCTCGTCAGGTTTGTATTTAAATATTCAATCTCATTTTAAACTGCATGCAATTTTTTCATTAAACTTCACATTCTAATCTATGACATTACTAGGTATGTCACTGCATTTATTACAAATATGTTGTTTTTTTGTTGACAGATATCACAATATGATCGTGTATGTCATGCCTGTTGGTTGAGGTTTAAAAGACAAGCTCTTTTAACTCAACAACAGGATGAAAGAAGAGGCTTAGAAGGTGATGAGACTCCTCACGGTCAAGAAGAAGTGGAACAGCCTGTTGATGCAGTTCATGTTCCAGAATTACAACCTCCCCCGTTTCTTGCAAGTACAGATGAAAGGGATTCGTCTGTAGAATCAGTTGCAGCTCCAGAGGTTCATTCGCTACAATCTCAAACCCAACAATCAAGTAACATTACATTACATAATTATAAACGTGCTCCCAATACAGCATCTCATTGTGCATTTTATGGGTGTGAAAATGAAAATCTGCATACTGTGTCAGATGCACTGCGGGCTACCATTTTGTGCAACTACAATTTTTATATTCCCAAACTGGCAAGAGTATGCACATACCATTTACATGGAAACAGTTGGAGTTCCCTTTATACCAGTGAAAACAGCATGAGCGATTTCACTGTTGAACAAGTTGAGCATGTTTTTTCCTTTGTTCAAAAATACAAGCATTTTCTCGATTTTTCAAGCATAGAATCATTACAAGAAATTGACGACAATTTATTTGAATTTTGGATTGGCTTGTCAAAATTGAAATTCCTTAATTTGTTAGAAGACCTTCCCCGACTGTTGGAAAAACATAGGGGTGTATTAGGTCTAGCTGCTGTATTGATAAAGATGCGGACAGGTGATTCCGACTTAAGAATATCAACATTGCTAGAAGTTCCTCGTACTACACTAGAGAGGTTAATGCAAACAGCACGAGAGGTACTGCTACAGGATTTTGTTCCATGTAACCTTGGAATAAATCACTTGCCGAGAGAACAATTAATAGAACACAATCTAATCATTCCGAATGGAATTTACAATGAAAATAATAAACAATGTATTGTGATGTGTGATGGAACATACATTTTTTTAAATAAAAGTGGCAATTATATGTTTCAAAAAGACACATATTCTTTACACAAATATAGAAATCTGTTAAAGCCATTTTTAATAGTTGCCTGTGACGGTTACATTTTAGATTGTTTTGGCCCATACAAAGCTACCACATCTGATGCCGATATAATGTCTTCTTTGTTCAGCAACGAAAATTCCCCACTGAGACAATACTTTCAAGATAATGACATATTTATTTTAGACAGGGGATTCAGAGACAGCATCAGCTTATTGGAGCATTGTAATTATAAGGCATATATGCCAGAGTCACTTTTGGAAGGTGAACACCAGTTAACCACCACCCAAGCAAATAGAAGTAGATGTGTAACTATTTGCAGATGGGTGGTGGAGGTTGTAAATGGATATTTTAAAAGAGATTTTAGATTATTAAGGTTTGACAATTTTAATAAAACTGTACCAAATATGATGGCTTATTTCCAAATTGCTGCAAGTTTAATAAATAAGTTTGGTGTTCGTCTTCGCAATAGAGCTGATGCTGCTCAAATTCTTGGTATAATAAATGAAAGGATGCCCTTGGAAAATAACTTAATTAATATAGTTACAGAATATAATTTAAATCGCCGGGCATCCTTTTTTCAAAGCATTACAGCTGATACTGCTAATATTGAGTTTCCCCGTCTAGAATACAGTGAATTAATATTATTCGCCTTGGGAACGTACCAAATTCGCCAAGCGCGTTCATATTATGGTGAACACGTACGTTTCCATGGCGGATACAGGATAGAAGTTTGTCAGGATACTAATAATATACCTGAGTTAGGCAGTGGGGAAAATTCACTTATAAAAGGAAAAATAAAGTCTAGACATATCTCAAGACGTCAGTACTATGTGTACATTTTGATTGCAAATGGTGTTGATGGACGAGAAGGCATTGTAGAGTATTGCTGTAACTGCATTGTAGGACGTCGCACTGTAGGTTGTTGTGCGCATATTATGACAATGGTGTGGTACTTGGGTTGGGCCAGGCATGAAACCAATATTGAGCCTCCAGCTGCATTTTTAGATGAAGTGGTCATACGAGAAGACAATGAATAAATAAAAATAAATCAAATCGTGTTTTTTATTTAATTTCCCTGTTCTCGCCAAAAACATGTAGAAAAGGTAGCTCTTTTTGTTATCTATTAATGTTGTGATGGCCCATAGGTTACAACTCGCCTCTTATGCACAGGCTGTGAGTTCAAATTCAGGCAAGTACCAATGTGTGTCTTTCAATGCGTAGGTACGTATTTTCTAAGTTTATCTTACAATGGGGAAGGAAAACATCGTGAGGCAACCTGAACTCAATAATCATATGGTAGAAGTATAATAATCAAAATAAAAGTCTGAAACTGCCAACTCATCTTGACTCTGCTTGGTGATTAATGCTGCTGCTTTCTCTGTATGAAAAGAGGTCTTTTCCCAGCAGTGGGGCCGTATTATTATGCTTATATTAGGTATTATTTACTCTCTTTCTCTGTTCATCAGACTTTTAGAGTTCGATGGCAGAAAGCGTCGCCTGTCAGGACGACTCCTTGAGTCAATCTGTTACGACGACAGATTTTGACCGATAATTAAATGAACTATACGTATATTGTTCTAATTTGCATAAAGTGTAGTCTAAAAATCAACATAGGCGAGATATTACGAAAACGTAACTGCTATTTGTGACCGCGCACAGATGATAATATTACATTGAAGAGGGATTTATTTCTGAGTGATTGTAACTCTCTCGGCGATTAAGAAACAATAACAGAGTACTTTTTGTATACCTGAAAGAAACAATTTGATTATAAACGTATAGTTTTTGAGGTTGCGACAGCTGTCAAATAAGGTTTGACAGCTGTCATAACCTGAAAAACTTATTTACTTAATAGCATTTTTCCCTGGCCTCTAAATGAAAAGGTAATAAGTTATTATGTTATTATAAACAATAATTGATTTTATGCAACAGCACTTGTAGGTAGACGCGCCCTGTAAAACAAATCAAGTGACAGGTCAATCAATGTATGGGAAGTGGGCATTCTTCTTTAACGTATATTACAGAAGAAAACGTAATCAGATACGTAACTGATGCTCATAAAAATAATAGTCTATACTTACATAAAATCAATTACGTATAATATATGCTTACCGTATGAAATTGCAGCATGAATCCTTTGTCAAACAGAAGATGCTGATCCAATATAAATTGGCTGAGCTTGGTTAATTCATGAAAGCCAAGGAGTTCGGCAGCTTGACGGATTTCCTATTAAATGTTCATGAAATTTACAAAGTGCATTGTTTAGACCAAATGGATAACTAATCAAATCAACTAATTGTTAATCATCAAATTTAAGTAATAATTGTGTTAAATGAAAATCGTTTTTAAATAAGAAAAATGAAAATAAGAGAAGAAATAGAGGATGATGCAAATACTACAGTATTTATGTTGAGTATCGATGGTGGGACACTGCTTTTATGCCTGGAAGTCCGTGTGGGTAGGTACCAACCTCTAACTTATTTCTGCCGACAAATAGCAGCTGTATTGGAGTATTCCGGTTTGAAGGTATAAAGTCAGTATACTACCACTATTTAAGACATCTCAGTCCTCAGAGGTGACGACACATCTGTATTATTTTTTGATTGATGTTCGCTGAAAGTTTCTATGAACTTAAGTAGACACCATCAGGTGGACTGTTAGCTTGTGTGGGACTTCAGTTTTATAAAAAAATTTAAGTAGCTAGTTATGATAAGGATATAGAACAACAAGTGAACGCAGTAAATATAGTAAATGGAGTTCTACACTCTATTGTGGAAAGTCAGAATGTGTCAAAAGACGACACGAAAATTCACAATGCTGTGGTAGTCCCTACTTTAACGATTGGTAGTGAAAGTTGAGTGTGGCTGGAGAAGCACGAGAGTAGAATAAACGCAGTAGAAATGCGGTCGTTAAAGAGTATGTTAGGGCTGAATCTGAGTGGCAGGGTGAGAAATTGTGTGATAAGAGAAGAGTGTGGTTTGCAAGATAATGTTGTGACCAGGATTATGAAAGGAATGCTTCGGTGGTTTGGTCATGTAGAAAGAACGAAAGAGGAAAGAGAGACAAAGCAAACTTAATGGAATGGCAGAGTCGGAAAGGCAAGTCCTAGGCGAAATGTTTATCGATTAAATTGGCGATTTATTGCAAATGAGCCAAATTAAGAGTACCCTTAACCGACGAGCATGTCGTACGTAGATGAGCAGGCGAGAGAGGAGTGTCAGGATTGTGCCAAATGGAAGTCTGTAATCTTTGCCTATATCTATGGGCCACAGTAATCATTTGTCCCATGTACTTGCACATGTCCATCATATTCTATTTGTTTAGTCGAAACAAAAACATTAATTAAAACGTAACTTTTGTTTTGTCCGTAACACACTTCGCTCGTACAGGGCAAGCCCAGCCACCTAACCAACGGGGCATTCGTGAATGACGAGAGAGAGAGAGAGAGAGAGAGAGAGAGAGAGAGAGAGAGTGAGGGAGGGGGGGGAGAGCGACGTCGCATTGGCAAGAAACATCAAATCCAGTGAAATAGATACTAAGTAGAATATTATAGTCGCTTTAAATATTTTCAGAATAAGTTTACTATATTAATTATTAAGTAGACAGCGTCTTAAATATTGTTTCGCGCCATAATTAATGCCACTAGCATCATCTAGTATCGAGTAGCGGAACTAGGAGACCTTTTTAGAGAATTCCATACTAGAACACTCTACACCTAGTCGGTCGGGACCGGTATGTGCTCGCATTCACCGGTACAAGCGAACACTTCGAAGCGATATAACTGCGAACTTTAATGATCATTGTGATTAATTATTAGTGTGTTTTAAGTTGTAAGTGGTGTTCGATAATTAAAGTGTCAATTTTGTTAATTCAATCGGCAGTTTTTAATTGTTTTGAACCCCAAGTTCGTAACAATATTTTCGCAATATGTCGCAATAAGGTATTAATTCTTAAGTAGAGGGCGTTTTAAAAATTTTGCGGAATTAGTACTTGGTATTAATTATCAAGTAGAGGGCGTTTTGAACATTTATGAAGGGAAATATTTTCGAAATGAATAGATGTTATTAATTATTATATAGGAGGAAGGGAGTAAGAGAGAATATGCGAAGTACATGTTACAATACACATGTACAATATCCTCAAACGCCGTGGAACACTGATTTTTGATCGAGGCTTTATGAACTCACTGAAGATGAACTGCTTATGCTTCAAACAATGCTAAAATAAGAACCTATACCCTTATTTGGCTAGCGTAGTGAATATGCAATTTGTCCAAATAATGTTTGACAGTGCATTATTGAAACGACCAACAGTGGACTAATAAGATATACTATTTAGTATTTACTATAATCAATAATCCTATAGTGCAGTAGAAAATAATAATTGCTTATTCTATTATAATGACTGACGCTATATAAATAAATGAAATTAATAATAAAGTGAAAACATTAAACAGTGATATTTGAAGTAAAAACATTAAAAAAATAAATGTACTTACGGAAATACTTATATAATAAAGGAACAATAACAATAATGAAAAAATTAATAATTATGATTGAATGCGTTACGTTTATTATATTTAATGACAATTACCAGTAATAATCCGATCGCAGCGGACTGCAGAAGATAATTTTATTATTTAATATTTAAGTATATAGTTATTAATTTTTATGTTTAATAATAATAAAATATATAATTTACGATTTTATATTTAAGTGATAGGAAAGATTTGCAATATTGCTATTAGTAGTAATAAAAGGTTAGGAAAAATATAATAAGTACAATAAAAATAATTTGAATTTTTTAAATAAAATATGTACTGTAGAAATGCTAAGGTCCAAAAGACACATTTAAAGTCGAGAAAAATATGTTTTTAAATATAATTTCTTTTTTATGTGAAGTTTTAGACCTGTGTGTGCTAAAAGAAGCTTTTTAAAAGAAGTATTTAGTATAATAAAGGTTCTGTTAATAACTTTAAAGTTTAAACACTTACTTGCTGTTTGAACGCGTTGCTGTCCAAAGCGCCCGTGTAAATAAAGTTAATTATTTCCTGCATCACGTTCTGTGAAATCAGCTTGCTCATTGTGACTATAGTCTGCGTTTGAGACGTCGCGTGTTGGATTTTGTCGCACTAAAATAAACATTTTTGAATGAAATTGAAAATGTTCTAAAATACCCAATCAATTATCTTGTATATTTTTTTGACATATTTAATCCTACCTAATGCTACCTGAAATTTATACCAAGTACAAACAAGAAGAAGGGCCATATAAAAAGGGCTGTGTAATTAAAGAAACTTTAAAGAAGTTAATTAAAAACGTAATTAAAGAAAGTAGAACTACAATAAAACAAAAAAGAAACTGCAACAAGATTTCTCAATGTGGCAGTTTATGAGAAATCAAATAATACTATAATACACAATAGAATAGCTGTCAATTTTCTTTTATACGAGGCTTGTCGTCGCCAAACCCGATTCGCTGTGTTGACAGACTGAGTAAAGGAGACGGGCGAATTTGGGCCTAACGTTACACAATTGAAATATTTATCAATATTTTTTCAGTTTTTTTTGTAGTTAATAATGAAATATTAAGCAGTTTTATCAAAAGAAATTAAATATTTAATAAAAATAATACTGACTTCCGTTATTTTCATTCTTAAACAATGCTGCCAAATGAAATAGGTTAGTTAATCGATTTTAATACAAAGATAGAAAAAAGACGATAAAAGGTGTTTCAGTGTCTTCTTCTTTAGGTAAGTTTAAGAAACTTATTATTTAAATAATGGTTTCCTCATGAGACACTTCAACGTTTCAAAATAGTCGTAAAAATAAATTGACTAAATATTATCTATAAATCGATTTCACAATCAATATTTTATACAAGTCACAAAGCGGAAATGTCAACGTTAGTTCAAAAACTCAAACGTCAATCAAATCATTTGTTTGGTTGTTTGGCTCTGAGCTTGCGGTGGTATTGAATATTTTCTGTTGTTTTTGTGTGCTGTAATAATATTCTGATCTTTAACGACTCTGTCTACGTATAAAGGATTCTGACGGTTTCTTTTCTTGAAGAATACATGTGCAAAATGATAACTTAAATGGTTTTCCCCAGCTCACACTTAGTGATTTAATAAAAATATCTGTAGGTATTTATCAAATTAAGTGGGCTACGTCCCATTATGGAGAACACATAGGACAAGATGGGAGTTATGAAATAGAAGTGTGTTGAGAAACGGACTTCTGTCCGTTTCCTCCGTTATTTTAGTCTCCTACTATGAGAACAATAAATATCCAACCATTGTACCTGGCTATTAAGATGTCTAATGAAATTGAAACATTCAAATCAGACAGCTCAAAAACATATTTTACATATATTTGAGAGTTCTCTTAATGGTAGAGAGGCCATCAAATAGTATAATTTTAATTACTTGGTAGGAAAAAGAACTGTAGGTTGCTGTTGTCATGTAATGTTATGATATGGTACCTAAGCTGGGCAAGGCATCAAGAGAATTTCATACGGCATGCACCGTTTTTTGACGATATTTTGTTTATGATGAAGTAGACGATTAATAAATTAATCATTAAAATAGAAAGTGTTTTTTTAATTCATAAATTTTTTATAATAATTTGTTGTTGATGATGTTACGCGATGTTACGCGCGCTCCTAGTAACAGGCGCTGAAAGGGTGTGCCTGCGGTGCGGGCGGGGGATATGGCGCCACTCTGTCGCGGCACGGAAAACTACCGGTACTTTTGACTCAGCGTGCGCGCCGGATTGTGGTCTTTATTTTAATATAATTTGAAACGTGTTTGTCAAGATTAATTAAAGATTGTACCTAATAACTGTGTTTAGACTTTCTTGTTACAATTTTAATATAATTTGAAAAGTGTTTGTCAAAGATTAATTAAAGATTGTACCTAATAACTGTGTTTAGACTTTCTTGTTACATTCAGAAGTGGGATTATAGGACGAAATGAAGCGTACAGTGCCTAATAAAGACAGTGCATATACTCGTGCAACAAAAAAATCTAGACTTTTTGCGACTAGTGCTGGAACATTATACGTGAACTCATTACCTGGTGTGAACGTGATGTCAAGTGCTAGCGATTCCGAGGAAGATGTTTCTCCAAACGTTCTTCTTGAACGATTGATGACACAAAAGCTAGAACGCATGGTGGAGAAGTATTGTACAACTTCACAGCCGTCAAGGAATGTCTCTGGTGAGAAAATTATACCTGTTTTTGACCCTGATAACCATGAAGTCAATGTGAAAAATTGGCTAGCTAAGATTGATCAACTTGGGTTAGTCCATAAATGGGACGATTATTCTAAAATTGTAATAATGCAAACAAGACTATCAGGTTAAGCACAACTGTGTTTAGCCGATTGGAGGAGTATGATTACACGTGGGATCAGTGGAAATCTTTATTGATCAATGCATTTCCGAGGAGTTTCGAATACGCTGACATGCTCGAAGAACTAGTGGCTCGAAAGAAACAACACACGGAAAGTATCACACACTATTATCACGATAAATTGGCTATGTGTCGTCGTTGTCGGCTAGATGACGCTGCATCACTTTCATGTTTAATTAAAGGCTTACCCTCAGATTTACAAAATAATGCAAAGGCTTTTAAATGTGAAACTCCTGAGCAATTTTACACCGGATATTTGTCATCGTTTGAAAATTACCGTAATAAAACAGATTTGAGGAAATTAGATAGTGGATTTGCTAACCACTTTCGTATTACGAAAACCGATTTTGACAAAAAGCGGACATCCGACTTAATGGGGCCTACAACATCGCGCCCAGCGCTGACATCAACACTTCGGAAGATGCTTTGCTTCAGGTGCAATTCTGCTGAGCATATGGTTAAGGACTGCCCAGTTCCAGACAGACGTATTTGCAAGTTTTGCGGTCTAGTGGGTCACAACATCAATAAATGTTTAAAACTAGAGAATCTGTTAAAAAAATCTAAGGATGAAACAGTTCCAATTAATATTGTACAAAATCTTAACAATATATACAAGAAAGAAGTTCGCGTTGGAAGAACGCAGTATCGTGGCTATTTGGACACAGGCGCCCAAGTGAATATTATAACACTGGATATGGCAAAGTCCTTAAATTGCCCTATTTTGGAATCAAAAACTACTCTACAGGGATTTACGGGTGACACTGTGCCAGCTATGGGTCAGGTACAATTAACAATGACAATTGATGGATTGGTATTTGATACAACTGCAGTAGTAACACATATGAAACTACCAGCGGAGGTCGATGTGCTCGTTGGGCAACCAGTAATTAATTCGGAAGGAATATCGTTGATTACTACTCAAAATTCAGCTCAGTTAAAAAGAAATATCGTAGAAGATGAAAACATTTCAGACGGAAAATTTAGAGTAACCGCTAGCTCTGAAGTACGAATATCGTCTAATGAATCTCAAATGGTGCTAGTAAACGTAAAAGGAAATTCTGATGACTGCGATGTATGTACTACGCCGAGAATCCACAACATAAATAATCAATATTTCGTCATACCTGCAGCTCTAATAACAGGAGAAAAAGGGCTTGTGCGAATATATAATATGGGAACAGATCAAGTCAGCTGGAAGGAAGGTGAGACGATAGTACGAGCAGTACCATGTACTCCAGTCGGTAGTACTGTTGAGGGCAAGACCACTGATGATGATGGAAGCGAATCACACATGCTTCAGGCCGCAAACATTGAGGTGCGTAAGAAATTTTAAGTATTTAATCTGTCTGGGAGGTTTCCCGTGATTCTGATACTCTGTCTAATTTCTGTCTGACTTCTGTTCTCTATTTATTGATTTCTGTTCTGTTTTATATGTCCGATTCTGCTCTGTTTCGTTCTGCTCTGTCTGACTATTTTATAATGCTGTGAGTGTACAATATTCCCATAGTATGCGTTTGAATCTAAACAATAAGGGCCTTGTCGTCAGCCACTCGAAATACTAGAGCGATAAGCTCGCTAACATAAACAAAAAATAAAGAGGGAGTAAGAATTGTAACTAAAATTAACTTTTGGTGTGTTGCGCCGACAATACAAAAACAGTTATTCTTCGAAATACTTTTAAAATGTGTGTGGTAATTTTTTTTAAGTACATATTGATTTATATGTATATTATTTATTATATTTATTTTTATCGATATTTTGTTATTTTAACTCTGTTTGTTGTTTGATTATTATACTACAGGATTGGCTTAACCTACTTGAAATAGAGTAGGAGTATTTTTTTGTCATAGATATTTTCTTTACAAAAAAAAAAAAAAAACTTTATTTCTTCTCTCCTTTCACAGCGGCCTTACTTACAACATGAAGAAAATAGGAATGAAATAAATAATGTAGGGAAACTTAGGAAGGAGCGTAGCATCGAATACTACGCACTTGCGTTATAGCTAATACACCGTTGTCAAATATTGATATAGGAAATTTAAACTGTAATGAACAATGCCGATTATTTGAACTACTTATACAATATCAGGATTGTTTTGCGAAGGACACGAATAACTTGGGTTGCACTAACTTATCTGAAATGGAAATAGAATTAAATTCATCTACCCCCGTTTTTCATAAGCCATATCGCATGGCCCATAGAGAGCTCGAAATCGTAAGAAGTAAAGTAAAAGATTTACTTGATGCCGGAATAGTTAAAGAATCACAGTCGAATTACGCTTCACCAGTGATACTTGCGAAAAAGAAAAACGGAGATAGTCGTTTATGCGTTGATTAAATTAAAGATAGGTTTCCTTTACCACACATAGACGACCAACTAAACAAATTATCTGGAAAATGTTACTACACTAGTTTAGACTTGGCGCAAGGTTACCACCAGATACCACTTTCTAATAACTCTACTAAATACACGTCGTTTATAACTCCTGATGGGCAGTGGGAATACACGAGGGTACCATATGGACTTGCTAATGGACCCGCAGTATTTCAGAGAACGATATACAAATTGTTAGGGACACTGCGCTATGAGGAAGTGTTAACATTTATGGACGATTTATTGTTGCCTTCAATAAACATTGACTGCGGTCTTGTTATATTGGAAAAGGTGTTAAAACTTTTGAGGGAAGCCAATTTAAAACTTAATTTACAAAAATGCGCATTTCTCAAATCAGAAGTAAATTATTTGGGATATGTGGTATCTCCTGACGGAATTCGGCCAGGAGATCGAAAATTGGACGCGGTCAGTAACTTTCCCGTACCCGTCAATGTACACCAGGTGCGACAGTTTATTGGTCTATGTTCATATTTTCGCAAATTCGTTCACAATTTCGCGATTATAGCAAAGCCACTCACTGATCTGACAAGGAAAAATGTCCAATGGGTTTGGAATGATAATAAGGAAGAAGCTTTTACCAAATTAAAGACTTTGCTAGTAACCAAACCTGTTCTGGCTATGTATAACCGGGAGTATGTAACTGAGATTCATACCGACGCCTGCAAGATAGGCATAGCAGGAATTCTGATGCAAAAGCAGCCTAGCGGAGATCTGAAACCAGTTATATACTTTAGCAGAGTTACCACGAAGGAAGAGATGGTCTATCACAGTTATGAACTGGAAACCTTGGCTGTGGTAGAATCACTAAAGCGGTTAAAAATCTATGTAACTGGCATCCATTTTAAGGTTGTAACCGACGCTCTGCTGTGCGAAGTACACTTACAAAACGCGATCTCATGCCACGGATCGCCAGATGGTGGCTCCAAATTCAAGATTTTGACATGGAAATAGTATACCGACCTGGCACTAGCATGCGGCATGTTGACGCTTTAAGCCGCAACCCCGTTTCCGATGTTTTAAACATCACAGAAATAGATGACTGGTTCCTGGCGGCACAGTTACAAGATAACAAATTGCATTCCATTTATACCCAGCTCAAAAGTGGAGATCCTAGCAGTGACGTCAAAAATAATTACAGCCTTAAAGATGAGCGAATTTATAGAAAGACTTTGAATGGTGAGCGTTTAGCTGTGCCTAAAGCAGCTAAATGGCGTATTGTAAAGAAGTTTCATGATGATGTTGGTCATGTAGGGTTTAAACGCTGTGAAGAGGCGATAAAAGCTGATTATTGGTTCCCACGAATGACCAAATTTATTAAGAAGTATGTTGAAGCGTGTTTGGAATGCTTGTTTAAAAAGGGTAACTATGGAAAAACAGAAGGCAAAATTTACCCTATACCGAAACCGGACGAACCAATGCACACAGTGCACATTGATCATGTGGGTCCATTCCTTAAATCGACAAAGGGAAGCCAGTATATACTGGTAATAATAGATTCCTTCACTAAGTTTGTCGTCGTTAAAGCAACAAAAACCCTTCGGTCTACCGAAACTGTGACAGCGTTACGTGATGCATTTGCCGTTCTTGGTTATCCGGTTAGAATAGTTTCTGATAGGGGATTGTCATTTACCAGCCGATATTTTCGAGAGTTTTGTATTACGTATAAAATTCGACATACGCTGAATGCTGTAGCAGCACCTCGTGCCAATGGCCAAGTAGAGCGAGTCAATCGGACTGTGCTTGATGCTATCCGTACGAGTACCAATGAAACTAGTAGTTGGGACACCGCGATACCTGATATAGTTAGTGGAATAAATCATACAGTTAATGATACGACAAAGTTTAGTCCGTATGAACTAATGTATGCGAATAAAAAAAAATTGATCCCGGGTTTGTCAGCTAGAAACGGAGAAGTTAGTTGTGAAGAGAAGCGAGCAAAATCCAGTGAAAATATCAGAAAGAAACAGGAATATATGAACACCAAGTGCAACAAAAACAGGAAGGAAGCCAGAAAATACAAGAAAGGGGACCTAGTTTTGTGGAAGAAGGCATCTACGAGTTCTGAAACGGGAGTTAATCGAAAGATTGACAAAATATATGCCGGACCATATAAGGTAGTTCAAGTGTGTCCGAACGACCGATACAAAATCCGAAGTATTAAAGGCATGAAGGGTTATAAAAACTTTAATGCAATGGTGCCTGCTGATGCTCTGCGACCTTACAGAAGTTCTGTCACCTGTGAGACTGAATCTGAAAGTGATGCTGATCTTGTAGACACACAGGATTTGATTGATCTTTTAGAAAGTTAGACAATGGTGAATTCTGTTCTGCTCTATTCTGTTGGGTTCAGCCAATTCTGAGTAGGTATAAAAACAATTCTTCTTACTAATGCTTCCTAATGTGAATACCTGACGGTATTCACTTTCAGGATGGCCGATGTTACGCGCGCTCCTAGTAACAGGCGCTGGAAGGGTGTGCCTGCGGTGCGGGCGGGGGATATGGCGCCACTCTGTCGCGGCACGGAAAACTACCGGTACTTTTGACTCAGCGTGCGCGCCGGATTGTGGTCTTTATTTTAATATAATTTGAAACGTGTTTGTCAAGATTAATTAAAGATTGTACCTAATAACTGTGTTTAGACTTTCTTGTTACAATTTTAATATAATTTGAAAAGTGTTTGTCAAAGATTAATTAAAGATTGTACCTAATAACTGTGTTTAGACTTTCTTGATACAAAATTTCAAACCTCTAGAATTTAGTTGGACGGCGGCGTCTGAATCCTCTATGTGTGAATGTCCTACAATACATAAAATTATGGTAAAGTCTAGTTTACAATAGTCTAATAATTATTTTCTTTAAGTGTAATGTGAGAGCTCGGTGTAAGAATAACATTGTAAGCAGAACGTAAGCAATAACAATGGGTGCGTTTGGCAGAAAAAAGGGCTAGCAAGCGCTTACAAGCGCTGAAATAGTTTTCGGCCAGGACACGATTACTACTTCAGTAGCGCTGACACAATCCGCCATTTTGCTTATTTAATTTGTTTGTTTTGAAGTAGAGTTTGTAAGTCTTTTGTGCAATATTAGTTTTAAGTAATATAATGACATGAATAGACATATAGATGTCATTAAAAATTCATGATTGGTAAGTTTTTAATATGAATACTTTACAAACATATATTTAAATTAGGTTAGGTTCCCCAGTTGAAACTGACTTCGTGTCCTAGAGGAAAATAGCTACTTACGATTTGACAGCGCTTACCGCTTACGATCGCCATTTTGCTTACAAGCGCTTGCTAGCGCTTTTTTCTGCCAAACGCACCCATTGTTTTGATACAAACCAATGACGTCCTATATTTTTTTCTACCATGAAGCAGTCGTAAACATTTTAGTTTTTTTTAAATGGTATTGGTATATAAATAAAATAATGCAGTAATCGTTACTGTAACATCTGGCCCAGCTTTCTATGAACTTTCACCCGTCTCCTTTACACATTTTAGACGTTTGATTAATGTTCAAGATCATCATTAAATTTTAATAGGTACATATTTATTTGTAAATAGGGTGCAATTTGTCATTTTCTACATAATTTGCATGCGAAATTTGGAAAAGATTGTAACGTCAAAACACATCTCGTGTTGACATTTATACGTGTGAATTGACGTTTTAGTGACATTTGAGTGGCTACGCGGGCTCCGCCCACTCCCCCGTTATATTATGTATGTATTATATTATTCTATGTCGTCACCTGATACGAAATGGTTTATGCCACTATCTATCCCAAGCCACAAGATTTTTGCTACCATTTTCCCTAAGTCACCTCTTACAAAATAGGCGGAATGGGGAGGGGGGTTTAAGGTAATAGATTTTTACGCACCCTCACGCAGTAATAACATGTACAGTATTAAATAAAACAGCTGGTAATTACAAAAATTACATACCTTGACAACTTTAATGGAGTTTATGGCAGGATGGTTAACCTCCCTGTATAGATCTGGTGGTTTCTTACAGCTGTCGCTTAGCGGCAAGATCTGGCACGAGGAACGCCGTTTAATTTGATCCCAAACCCTGCGAATTTATAATATTATTATAAACTATGAGCTGGTAGCGCTCGCCGTAAGATTCATGTCAGCAACTAGGAGTCGAGCACTGTCGGTATCAATGAACTGTGTGTGTGAACTGAATGTGTTTTCGTTTTTTTTAATTTGTTTGGCAGTAAAGGCGAAGAAAAACATTGTCAGGAAACCTGCATGTCCTGTAATAATATGGAGTCCGTCAATAAGCACCGAAGTGGCGCGGCGGATTAATTGTTCTATAACACTATCAGAAATAGGAAAAAGGCTGTGCCAAAAATTGCACGTATCTCTCATCGACAGAGATACGTGCAAAGCCTCAGTGGGCTCCTATATATATCATAGGTCAAAAAATAGCAAGCAGACTAAGCCCTGCAGCTGTTGCTGTAATAAATTAGAAGTCTCACTAGTGTCGAGAGAGCTAGATTAATTTATTTCAGTGATTTTAATAGAATAATGTCTTACGGAATTCTGCTACGGGGTAATGAAGTTAATTTAGATACTATGTTTGGTGCAGAAGAGGACCAAGAGTTATTTACAACCTAAAGCCAAGAGTCTCTTAGAGAAAAATTTAAAGAAATAAATATGTATATTACTAATTTTTGCTTCTCAGTACATTTACGAAAATTCACAAAAATATTGTTACGAGCTTAGGGTTCGTGACAATAAAAACTGCCGATTGAATTACCAAAATTGACACTTTATTTCCTGGACATCAATTAAAACTTAAAACACACTAATAATTAATCGCACTGATCACTTTAGTTCACTTTATTTCGCTCCGAAGCCTCGCTTGTATCGCCAATTCAATACTGCCCCGATCGCGGCTATCAACGGCTTTATAAAGGGCTCTTCCACCGAAACATCCAGAATATTCCAGCAAATACGGGCGTCCACCGACCAGGCGCAGAAAGTCCGAGTGTAGGGTTTTAAAGCTTAATTCTTCCATTTGTTACTAGATGGCGTTGGTTGAAAGAGTTCCAAAAAGATCTTGACACTCCTGTTTCTGATACTTGATACCAGATCTGGTATCAAGTATCAAGTTACGTTATCGGTATCAAGTTACGTTATTTTTACGCTATTGGCTAAAATATTGGTTGGTGTTAATTTAAACTGTTTAAACGAAGCGCGTCAGTTTATTATCATTTGATTTAGAGTTTATTTCTCCGGTAGGAGTGATTGTATTCCGTGGTTTACTTTTTCATCAAAATATTACTAGGCTGTATAAAAAGCTGTAAATATAAATACTAGGAAAGTTAATTCAAATTTAGTGAAATTAGTTATTACTTATATTATTTAGTGTAGTGTACAAAAATATAAGATTTTGGTTAGAGTTTAATTTTCACCTTTTATCATGCCGAGACGTCACACTCAGCTGTGGGACCATCTTGAAAAATTTGTGAAAAATACCTAATAAATATTGTAAATATAAAATTATTATAAATCATAATATAATATAAGTATTGAATTAATTAGACTGTGTGTGTGAGTATTAATGAGACTTTATTAATAAAGAGATTCCAAGTATGAAGAAATGTTTATTGAATTAAAATTTCATGCGTAAAATAGCACTAAAATTAACACAACCGAAAAAGTGAACAAGTAATATTTTTAACTGTTAATTTTATCTGTTAAAAATTTAACAAATAAATAAATTTAACTATTAACGCCATGTCTAGTAGTAATGCATATAAGTAATTTTCTTCATAAAATGTGTATGGTTTGTAAGGCCACACACTTTTAAGAAGTAGAGTTGTAGTTAGTTGATGAGCACGTCAGAAGGAAAAGATCACCAAAGTTAAAAGTTTAATTAAAAGTAAAATAATTATAAATGTAGAGTGGCAAATCTTTCCTTGAGTAGTTCGGGTTTAGAAGGACGATTGTTGACGTACCGCCGATTGTCAGCTTGCAATTAAATAGGTAAATTTAAATACACGCCACGCCCGGCTAAAGTAGGTTGCAGCGTTTACTAAACATACAAAATGTTTACTTCTTACAGTTTACAATAACATTACAAAGTTATAATGCAGCTCAGCCAGTTTGGTTTATGATGATATTAATGCTGTTAGCCTTTTGATTTTACAGCTTCATCGGTCTCAGGGTGTATGTAAAAGGGTGAATTTTAATCAATCCGCATCGTTACTCGAGTAACAATGACTCCTACGACAGCGTACAGTATAATAATGTACTCCAGACCGAATTTCGGCCACGGCGGCCTGCCTCAACAGAGGCTAGCCATCGGCGCAGGACACGATTATAGTGCCCAAGTGTATGCGCAAGCACAGGTGCACTCTCTATTCGATCACTCTCATATTCTGATGGGACGGTAAACCGACACGACCGGAGAGAGATCAGGCGCAGGACCAACGGCTTTACGTGCTTTCCGAGGCACTGGGATGAGACACCGCCAACTTTCTGACTCCGGGCATTTTTTGACCCAAGATTATTGAACCCAGGACCTCATGATCAGCAGTCGCACTACTACAACCACTAGACCAACGAGGCAGACATAGCGTACAGTATACGCGTTAGAGCAAGGGGGGAGCGGGCGGCTCTGACGGCTAACTCGTATCGTTCGATGTTCTGGGCGGTGAGAATCGCCCAGGAACGCGAGTGTACGGTGTGTGCGCGGTGTGGAGCGGTGTGCGGCGCGCCCGTCTGCGGACTCGCTGTGACCCATCCGTTGTCCTAACAGTGTTTGTGGCTCTAGGTGAATGTCTAGTGTCTGTGTGTGACGGGCTGGCGATATTTGTGTCGTCGGAATCTAGCGGAACTGGGAGTTTGATTAGAATATTACGAGGCCTCCGGAGAATGCGAGACTTAACGTCTGGAGTCGATGCGTAGGTGGCTGCATTTACCAATGGATGTGACTCAGAGTAGCACTGAAACATTTCCTTGAAATATTCAGAGCTTAGATCATTGATACATAGAAGACCTATCAATCATATCAATAATCTAGGATTCAGAGATTGTCAGAAGAAATATTTTTTATGTCATTTTCTATGGAGTTGTAATGAAATTTCTACTAATCCAAGTGCATTTTATAAGTTGGTCGAATATTACTCGATAACTTGATATTTCTACTTAGCTGTGATAGTTTTCCTTTTAACATCATTATATATACTACTATCGTGTATACTACTATTCACATTTCTACAAAAGCAGTTTAGTTGGTAGGGGGGTGGGACACAAGCCTCTAATGAAAAATGCCACTTTAGAGCTAAATATTTCGCGAACGAACCTCTAAATCGGAAAGATGTTCTTCCATACCCCCAGTGTTTTTATTGACCTATCCAACCCCATCCCATCCCATACGATGGATTACACAGGTAAAAAAATCATCCTGCATTTACATGTATGGGAGAGTGGTACGCAAAATAAAAATGTTTTTAGGATTTTATTTCACAGTTTTGTAGGCGTGATTAATATGCCATATAACAGATTTGTAGCACCTGGAGGTCTCTGAGTCAAACCGTGGGCAGTCGGACGAACATGGCGAAACTATAAGGGTTCCTTGTTGTGTAACTATTGAACCCTAAAAAGGATGGAAGGCATCAATGATTTTTTAAAATTTCTGTCTTAGGTTGTCGCTCCTGCGGATTTTGCAACTACACTTCTACTGCGAACTACAATTTACGTGATGTACATTATATGCTCTCACCTCATTTGTTTAGCTTGGTCTTGTCGAATCAAGTATTCAGTGTCCTCGTTGAAGTCACCGGTGGTCGCCTCACCGATGCTGCTGACCTGTACGTGATAGATATTAAGAAAAAATAAATATTTTAAGGTTTTTATAGTATACGGGTGACAAATGAGCACACAGTCTGTATCTGAGGTATCTGTTTCTGATGGTAAGTGGTTGCTATGGCCCCTCGATATCTACATTTATCCTCGATTAAGAATCATAATGCAGATATGTTGTAACCATTGAGGACTAAGATGGAATGCCTCGTTTCCAGTAAAAAGGGACTACAGTTTTCTATACTCACCATACGAAACACAGCATTAGTGTATTTAAAGTAATAGTAAATAGCAAATAGACAAAGATACTTACGGAGCATTTATTTTTAGACCATAATAAACAGTCATTCCGTGCGCGAATCAAATCCCACATTACTATCAACACACTATTTCGTAACTACAGTGGACTCCCGGTAATTCGGCCACTGGTTAATCCGCACCGCCTTGTAATCCGACATGAATTCAACATTTAGCTACAATCGAGTCGCGTTATGAATCCATCACGGGGGAGATGTCCTTCGCGAAAACGTGGATAAACAGGTTGCAATTAGTTCGAATTTTTTCTCAGTTTAAATGTGACTGTGGTTGCGGCCTAGCGGACATTCATCATTTACTGTTTGGGTATTCATTGTGAATTACATGAATTTTTAATTTTTATTATTTTATATTTGATATGTAATTTATCGGATTACATGGTACTTTTTTTAAAAAGTACTGGACTACCAGGAGACTGTGGCAGTACTCTATAGTTCGAGAAATTTGATAGTTTGTCGGATTACCGCCGGTTAACTGTAATTGTAATAAGGATGTTTTTCGTTAAGGAAACTACATAATCGATTTTAATGAAACTTAGTTAGTATTCATTACGCAATAAGGTGCCATTCAGTAACGGACGAACTTTTGAAGAGTAAACACGCACGCACTCACGCACATACGCACACAGATTCTATAGAAGTGTCCATATCCTTTAAACTCTGTCGTAATCGAGTTGACGATCGAGACAATTCAAAACTGGTAAAAACTGTAATAAAACTATATTAAATAATACAAACTATACAAACTCACCATGCTGCTTTCACTGGAGCTCCGAGCCAGTTCCGTAGAGAGGCTGACGCAGTCCGTGGTCAGGAGTCGATGGAAGGCTTCGCAAGCTGCCGCCATCATGAAACGATGTACCGGGAATCCTTTCGCCCCGCATATAATAACCATGTCCGAGAAATACTGCAGGTAATATAAGTTATAATTAATGAAATTAAACGCGATAAAATGCGTTAAATTAGTTTTATTAAAAACTGCAAGTATAAAAATATAAGTATTTTCGTGTAGTTAAAGGTGTAAAACTAACTAATGTCAGTTGACGCTACGTACTCGTGAGTTTTCGTGAAATGAATAAAATAAGTTTTGTGACACCGAAGTTAAAGTACCTTGCATAAGAATTGAGTAAAGTAGAGATATTTATAAAAATAACAATGATGTGCTCAAAAATTGTCGATGCTAGATAATTGGCTCATATAAAGTACTTTAAAGTTAAAACTACGCTATCGCTGCTACAAATTCAAGCTGCGGGGAGACCTTGTGAGAAGAAGCGGCAAGGAACTCACAAGTACACTAGTATTCGCCCTGTGTCTTTAACACTCCATATAGATGGAACGTTCAATATAAATTAAACGTTCACTTTCATTCTTTTATGAGAATTATCGACCGCCCGCGACTTTGCTCGCGTGGCATTGGAAATTACGACAATGTTGTTCATAGATACTCCGTAAGGATCAGGATCAGTATAAGGATAATGATAATAATGTCCCTCAGACCACATTTTGGCCATGGCAGCCATTGTCAACGGAGACTTGCCATCTGAGCAGGATAGGATTATGGTGGAACGGAATTAAGGCAACTTTAAAGCGAAAATATAACGCTGGAATTTCGAATAAATCCTTCCTATTCTTTGTCTACATTATAAAGAGAACCTCTGTGGAAAATTTCAGGTCTAGGTCGAAAGATTTGGGCTGGGAGCTGATGGGTCCATGAGTAAGTGAAGTGGGACTTCCTTATATATATATATATATATATATATATATATATATATATATATATATATATATATATATTAATTATAATAAAAAGACACGAGAACGTAATACACATAGGAAAAATAACGAATGTGTTGTTACCTATACGTAAGTCAAATATCATGCTCAGATAATGGCCTTCACTTAAAGCTGTCGCAGTAATCGAAACCAGCTTAGCTATCATTATCATTACCATCAATATGCACAAGTCAAATTGATCATAATACTTCTATACAAGTATATTCTTACTAACCTGTTGACGTAATAGAGCGGTCATATTTTCTAAATAGACGCTGTTTACGGTGACCACCTCCGGTTCCATAGGTCTCGGAGGCCTGAATGGGGCCTGAAACCAAAATATCCTGATCTCATAACACCGCTTTTTCCTAACATATACAAACACTAAGATTTATACGTGGTAGAGCCACGCCGCAGTTATATTATGGTTGTAGCACGAATGGGTCGACTCGACCGGGGAAGGACCGCGCTCTCACAGAATATCAGCGTAAAATAGCAGCTTAATGCTGCTGTGTTGTTTCGTGTGGTGAGTGTTGAGAACCGGAGACCCGTTTTACTGGATACGAGGCATTCCATACTAGTACCCAAGGGTGACAATGCATCTGCATTTTGATTCTCCGTCAAGGGTAAATGTAGATGTCTATGGGCCACAGCATCCACTTACTATCAGATGTATTGTGTGCTCGTTTGTCACCCATATAATATATAAAAAAAGATAATTTTTATATAGGATTGCATTGCTTTGCATCAGTTTACACTGTTCTCACAGAAATGTACATTTTTTTCTCAACTCAATAATAGTTAAGTTATATAATTTATTGCTATTTTATACAATATAGAAAGACGAAGCGCTGCGTTTATTTTTAGTTAAGCAAAAACCAAGCCAAAACCCTGGTCAACTTATTCTAAGAATTCATATGCATTGATAAAAAATACTTTTACGGATTTTATCGCGTTTTATTTATATTAATTTTAATACCCGACGTTTCGGGTGTTTTCCAGCACCCATGGTCACGGGGGACTGAGGTGACTGACGTCCCGATGTCAAAGTTAACCCGGAGTACCTTCAGCTTTTTAATTATTGTTTTTGGTCCGATCTACGCAGAATGAACTAAGTGTATTTTGAAGTCTTGCAGTGGTATGCTTGGGTTTAGTTTGGTAGAGCCATGTTATATTAGTAGTATAGTTGTAGCACGAATGGGTCGGTTCGGCCGGGGAAGGACCACGCTCTCACAGAATACCAGCGTGAAATAGTAGCTTAATGCTGCTGTATTTCGTATGGTGAGTGTAGAGAACCGGAGACCCTTTTTACTGGAAATGAGGCATTCCATCTCAGTCCTCACGGGTGACAACGCATCTGCATTTTGATTTGTAATGGAAGATAGATGTAGATGTCTATGGGCCGCAGCAACCACTTACCATCAGGTGGACTGTGTGCTCGTTTGTCACCCTATCCTATAAAAAAAAATTCATATGCATTTTAAATCATATAAAACCATACGTGAGCGTCCAGAAGTAAACTTTTAGAAAGGAGAAAGATGTGTGTATGTGTGTGCGTGCGTGCGCGTGTGTGTGTGTGTGTGTGCTTGTGTGTGCGTGCGTGTGTGTGCTGTGTGTGTGTGTGTGCGTGTGTGTGTGTGTGTGTGTGTGTGTGTGTTTGTGTCAAGAAGTTGTGCCTGACTTCTTGACACACACAACCGTGCTTAGTTTGGGCGTTATTTAAAATGTACGCAGCGCAACGTCTATCTTTGTTTCTCTGATCTTCACTATAATTTTTCGGGTCTGTTGTGAGTTACGGTGACATCGGTTGATATTATTTTATAATTATTATATTTAAAATATTATTATGAATACTTATGCATTTGATATTATTAAATTTAGTAATGATTCACAATTTTTGTATTAGAATTAACTTGAATAATTGTAATATCCTGATCCTTGTTGGTCGAAATGAATAAATAAAAAAATTACTGATGCTTAAGAGGGAAGGGAGATCACTGCTAGTAACCTGTAGAAGCGGACGCTGCACTCTCTTCAAGTTGGTCATCCAGAACCTCTGCTGTCTCCGAGCAATCAATGCCGCTCGTATCGCGTTCTCAAACACTTCATTCACGCCGTAATACGTGAAAACAGATGTCTCGTAATAGTATATGCCGAATTCGTGAGCCAAAGCGCGTCCTTGGTCCGGCATAACCAGGTCGCTTTTTCTTGGAGCCCTGTTGACGAATTGTTAAAAAATATTTTTGTAATACGATTTAAATATATTTTTATTTTTTAATAGACTTACAAAAGGGAAGAAGGACCTCTATGAACTACGAATTTGGCTTTTATTGGAAATGGCCACGTCACCGGGACGTCAACCAAAACGAGATTATTGCTGGCCGAGATCTAGATGATGTGACGGCGATCGTTTGTCCACCGCCTTAAATTATTTCGCTAGTTTTTCATGAATGTTTGATGCATCATGAAACTTTGTAGTTATCAGTCCACTTAATAATCAGGTATATTATGACTGTTTGCCTGGCCTACCTGGGTACACCAGGTACTGCATACAGGTAAGTCGTAAAAAATTCGCACAAAAATAGTGTTTGATTCTAATAATGATACTGACCATCCGTCAGTTAAGTTGATAAAGAATTAAGAAGAAAAAATGACGGCACGGTGGACAATCCCCTGAAGGTGGGAAAGGAGGGTAATTTTTTTAATGTAACCATTTTGACCCAGATTCTGGTTGTTTCTTTGAGCTTAAGTTTGGCATATTTCTAAGTTCACTCAAGAGGGTAAAAAATTAGACTTAATAAAATGTAAACGCCTACTTTAAAGAACTAAAACAATATTTCCACATAATAGCTTCAGGAATTAAAGCGCTAAGGATTAACTACTCCAACACTATGTCTGAGCACCAACTTGTGTATAACACTATGTCTTAGCATATTACATTCTGATCTAAAGTTATGAGAAAAACATTTTCTTTTTTAGTTTTGCTCTGTGCCAGTTCCGTAGAGAGAGAGGAGGAGAGAGACATTCCGTGGTCAGGAGTCGCAAGCTGCCGCCATCATATAAAATGTCATGACATGAAAAAATTAAAAAGTCATATTTTACTTTTTCATGTCATGAGATGGACAACAGTATCTTCCCGAAAACAACTCAAAATAATAAAAACTCTGAATGTTAACCCTCTAGCACAACTATAACAAATTGACACGATTGACCCTATCAGGTCATTGGGGCCGAGGGGGAGGCTGAAATACGGTAGGTGAATGTTGTGGCCAATAGGGACACATTTACATACATCCTTAACTAAGAATCAAAACATTCAATCGTTCAATAGTTGTAGCACGAATGGGTCGGCTCAACCAGGGCAGGATCAGGCTCTCACGGATTACCAGCGTAAAATAGCAGCGTAATGTTTCGTATAGTGAGTGTAGAGAACCGGAGACCCTTTTTACTGGAACCGAGGCATTCCATCTTAGTTCTCAGAAGTGACAACGCATTTTCATTTTGATTCATTGATGATAAATGTGGATGTGTTTGGGCCACAGCATCCACTTACCGTCAGGTGGATTGTGAGCTCGTTTGTCACCCAATGCCATAAAAAATATCAGTAATAAACACGGGTGCATTGCTGATCTCAAGCAGGAAAAGGCAAGATGGTGGTATAAATCCAGACGTACTTAACCGAAAGGTACTCAAGTAGATTTCTCAAACTCAGGCAGACAAGTATTTTTGTAAAAGCAACAATTTTTTTTTCTTTCTATTGCGGTATTAAACGATAATGACGATGATGTGTATAGCTGATGAGGATGATAGCAATCGGCCACTTCAACTGTATCACAACTTTTGTAAACTAGATAGCCAAACATATTTCATTGTTTTTTAATACGAGTACGTACCAATGATAATTTTTATATCTTACTTATACTTAGTTGTAGCACGCTTCTTGTAGTAGGTTTACTTGCCTTATAAATGGGCTTCGATCTTTACAATAATTCAAATAGGTCTCATCTCTATACATGTAGCGGAGATCGTTCTTGCAGCCGACTAGTAGCACCGGCGTATTCGGACAAAATCGTCTGTGAACAAGTAATATATTAATTAAATTATACTAATACTCGTACTAATATAAGTTGCACGGAAAAGGTTTACCGATTTTTGCCCCTCCTACTCCCGCCGACCGCGTCCCGATACGTTAGTAAAGTAAAGTAAAGTTACAGCATATATACGTCCCACTGCTGGGCACAGGCCTCCTCTCATTTCTGAGAGGGTTTTAGGGCAAGGAATAGTCCGCCGCGCTGCCCCATGCGTGTTGGCGAACTTCACATGTCCTCGAAATATTTTTTTTTCTCTTATTCCTCAGACATGAAGGTTTTCTTCACCGCTGAGCACGTGGTAAATCAGCACTTAAAATTGCAATTAACAATTTCATTGGTGCCGGTGGCGATCAAACCCGGGTTGGTTACTCGCGTTCTGTTATATTTACAGCGATCGTTAACCATCTGAGCTAGCACGGCTCTATATACGATAGTACCTACGTCGGATACGTTAGTACTTACTATTATTTATTCTGCGACGCCAGGCTTCTCTGCTCTGTACATTAAGTACAGACAAAGAAAAAATAATACGGAATACTTTTTTCTTTCTTTATAGCCAGTAATAGTCTACCGATGGATGCATACATGTACACCTAAATCATGTTGTTTGTTACAAATGTAAATGATTTTAGATGCGAATGTGTTCGTGAAAGCGCGTTCTTACAATGAGTTAAGTTTAGGTTTAACTAGGTTTTATTTGGGTCAGAGACATCAAACAAATTATCAAACCTACTGTGACGACATGACACTGTGACAATATGATGCTATTGGAAAACCTGCACACGGGTTTCATAGTGTTGTTAGAGTTAATAAGTAAATTGTTAAAAAGCAATGTACTTCAAAAATTTAGTGTACGTAGTCCCCTCACTTGGGACAAGAATAAGTTATATGTATAAATATACGAGTACGTCAAAAGAATCCAGTTACAGGAATAAATTTACAAATCGAAACAAGTTATTGAAACCACTGAATATGGATACAAACTTCAAACGACAATTTATTAATAACAATTCTACGTGGGTTGAATAAATTGCCTTTTTTCGTAGCTTAATAATAATCTCTTCACAGTGAAATATTAATCAATTGTAACTAAAAAGATTTTACAGAAATATTTATACAATTAAGGTTTAGGTTATAGGAATTTGCGTAACTATCTAGTAGCTCAAATTATAGGTACCTAATCATATATTACATAATAATATTGGGTCCTTACATATGAAATTAGCGTTTTGTCGTACTGACCACTTTGATCTGAAATATCTCCTCTTTTGTTAAGAATTCCAAATTCAAATTTATAAGTTCATTTAGCTGGTACATTTGAGTTTCGAAAACAGACATACATTTGTTTTTTTCCTCATTATTTTTTTCTTCGGCGTCGCTTATTACCGCACAATGGAAAACATGAAATATCGGTATATTTACGAGTACGAGTTCTACCGTGGCACCAGTGCTGCAGAAACAGCTCGAAGGATTAATGACGTGTAAGGCGCTGGTTTCGCAAAAGAAAGCACGGTACGTTTTTGGTTTCAACGTTTTCATTCTGGAAATTTCGACCTTCAGAACCAACCCCGTGGACGGTCGGAGACCAAAGTGGAAAATGAAGAATTAAAGGATATTATGGAAGCGGATCCACCATAAAGCACTTCAGAGATAGCTGCAGGATTCGGGTTAAGTGACAAAACTGTATTAATCCACTTGAAGCAAATCTGGAAAGTAAAAAAAAACTTAAACGATGGGTACCTCATGAATGGAGTGAATCAAACTTGCAAACACGCGTCGACTACTGTGTTAATTTGCTCAACCGACACAAAAGTGAACGGATATGCAATCGAATCATTATTTGTGATAAAAAGTGGATACTGTACGATAATCGGAAGCGATTGTCGCAATGGCTGAACCCTGAAGACCCAGCCATATCCTGTCCTAAACGAAAATTGACTAAGAAAAAGTTACTTGTGAGTGTTTGGTGAACTAGCGCCGGTGTGGTTCACTACAGCTTTCTAAAATTTGGCCAAACGATTACGGCAGATATCTATTGTAAGCAACTGCAAACCATGAAGGAAGAACTAGCTGCTAAACAACCGAGATTGGTCAATCGCTCCAGGCCACTGCTGTTTCACGACAACGCAAGACCACAAACTGCACAACAAATGACCACTAAGTTAGATGACCTACAATTGGAATGTCTGCGACATTCACCTTACTCCCCGTACCTTGCTCCAACAGATTACCATTTTTTCCAGAAATTGGACAACTTTTTACAAGGAAAAAAAATCAACTCCGATGCGGCAGTCCAAACCGCCTTCAAAGAGTTTATTGATTCTCGCCCCCATGGTTTTTTAGGGTATGTTCCGAAACGTTTTCAGTATACTGCCGAATAGAAATGACGTCATCAATTGACACTATGTTGTACCGGCGTGCCGCTGCCATATTGTGTCGGATATCCGGCCATAATAAAACAATTTTTAATTGTGTGTGCGCTGAAGAAGCATGCCAGAAATTGTTTTTATTTATTCAAATACAAAAAAAAATATAGAATAATTGCTGGTATTTCCATTAGGAGGATATAATGATTATTGAGCACAAAATGACAAAATAATCGCAAACACTTTTCCAATATGACGCAAATGTATGACGTCATATAGTGTCCAATGTTTTGGAACGAATCAGCAGTATAGCGTAGATTCATGACGTCATTTACATTGGACAGTACACTGGGTTCTATTTTGGAACATACCCTGTAAAAGAATCAATGAAGTACTAGCTATGAGATGGCAAAAGTGCATAGATAAGAACGGTGCTTACTTTGATTAATTAAATACAATATGTAACGTAATTAACGCACACCCTCAGACACCCCAATTAGTATATTATGTTATAATCATAATACATACACTGAATTTTTAGTTAAACATTTTTATGCACTGATTATTTATCAAATTAGTTATACTAATTCTGGAAGAATGTTGTGGTCACAGTAAAAATCCACGAACGCAAAGTCTTTAACGTGCTTGAAATAAAGTTCATTTTTCTTTATTTTATTGAATTACAGTTTTAGTAATAATACAAAAAAAAAACTGCAATCTTAAAAGTCTTATTGCCTTAAGTTACGGTCCATTTCAGTTTGTTTTGACTGTACAGATTTAGTGTGACTGTAATTTACGTAGTTTTAATTATTTTTGGGATAAAAAATCACCTATATTAAAAATGATAGGAATTGATTCAGTAAATGATTCTGAACAAACTACTTTCTCAAACTGCGTTAATTATGTTACGTGTTGTATATTTTACAAAAAAAAAATTACTTTATATACCTCCCGTACAAAACGCCAATTTCATATGTAAGGACCTATTAATTACTAAAATATAAACATATTTACCTGATTTCAGGATACCACATGGCCCCACAATTTCGCAGTGATATAGGATTGGTGATCGAGAAACATAGGAGGACGACGTCAGATCTGAAATACAGACAAATTATTTTATGAAGTTTAATCTATCATTTACAATAAAACATTTTTATCTAGATCTGTTTTGTTCCGTGGTAGAGTCAACGTTATAGCTGTTATGAATTAGGTGACTGTGCCGGGGAAGAATTACGCCCGTACAGAACTATAGCGTTTTTTTTCTATAAAGAATATGGGTGACAAGCGAGCACACAGTCTATCTGCTAGTATATAAATTATGTAGTGTAGAGGTAAGGAGTACAGACTCAGTATAAAAAAGTGTCCGACGTAAAACGTAAAAGTAAAGCCAATTCTGGAAAGCTAAATGTCTGTAGGAAAGCGCTAAATGTCTGTAGGAAAGCGCTAAATAAGGGTGGCGCCACTGTCTACAGTCTAAATTTTAAAGAACTTTTTACATTTTTTTTATTGCACAGACTTTCACCATAATTCTTTTTACAATAATTATTTTATTGCTTTCAAAATTTTTATTTTCAAAATCACTCTCATCGAATTTTACGGCGATTTATCATACCCTGTAGCTACTTGAGCGCTGTTGTGGAGAGTTTTTGAACTGTTATTTACTGCTTACAGATGGACACATTTTCAACTATTCTCCTATGGGAGATTTTCCTCCTTACCTCTATACTCCATGATATGAATGCTGTAGACATTTCTATTCTCTATTAAGAAAAAAAAACGCCAAGACTTTGTCACCCCAGAGTACTAAGATGGAATGCCTCGTTTCCAGTAAAAAGATCTCCAGTTCTTTTCACTCACCATACAGCAATGTTAAGCTTCTATTTCACGCTAGTATTCAGTGAGAGTGTGGTTCTTCCCCGGTCGAGCGGACCCATTCGTGCTACCACTATAATACAGATGCGACGTGGCTATAACATACCATATAATATAAATATAATTATATACCGCGTATGTATCACGTAAAATATCCGCTATTCAGCGCTACTCATATAGTGAATATTCTATACAGTTATGTAACTAGAGCAAAATGATTAGCGTTTCTTAAAAAATATAGTATCTGAGTGTAATAAGGTCATCCACTTAATAGGTTCACTTTCATATTACGCAAAAACTACAGATTTTTTTGCAAAGGCGTCACGATTACTCTTCATCAGTCAATCAAATAATAAATGGTCAAAAGGGGGCTGTTTTATCGAAATTATTTTGACAGATAACATTATAGTAAATATTTTAGTCGACTTTAGTAATTGTGTAGTGTGGTTGGTTTTTTTAAATTGATTTTTCGAAGTGTTCCTAATTATTGATACGGCTTATTTGCAATTTTTTTCTTAATATATTAGTTATAGTATATGACTTTGTGTGTTTTTGTATCTGTCCTTTACCTAGTTTTGGTTTTATAATGTGGCAAAGCTTAAGGTGAATATATTACCCTCATATACCTTATAATATAACTAATTGTGCCCGACATGCGTTTCAAAGCGTCTTTCTTTGTCAGACACTTTCACAGACGCGCGAACAACAACTCACCAAAGCTTCATCGTAATTGGTTAAACGGTATAGGATGTAGGAACGCATTGAAGATGAACAAACACATTTTTTAAACATAGATTCAAATAAAATAAGCAAAACGGTATGTGAAATAAGCATAGAAGGAGAGTTAATTGAGCAAGTGGATGAGTTCGTATATTTGGGATGTGTATTCAGCAGGGATGGGAGATATGATAAGGATATTGAACGACGAGTGAATGCAGGAAATAAAGTAAATGGGGCTCTACACTTTATTGTGAAAAGTAAGAATGTGTCAAAAAAGGCACGTATGGCAATTCACAGTGCTGTATTAATCCCTACTTTAACGTATGGTAATGAAAGTTGGTAGAAGAGTAGAATAAATGCAGTAGAAATGCGGTCGCTAAGGAGTATGTTAGGGCTGAATCTGAGTGACAGGGTGAGAAACTGTGTGATAAAAGAAGAGTGTGGTTTGTAAGATGATGCGGTGACCAGGATTAAGAAAGGAATGCTTCGGTGGTTTGGTCATGTAGAAAGTATGAATGCGGAAAGACTGACAAAGCAAATATATGTTGCAGAAGTGAATGGAAGAATCGGAAGGGGACGTCCTAGGCGGAGGTTTGTCGACCAAATTGGCGATATACTAAAAATGGACCAAATTAAGAGTACCCTTAACCGACGAGCATGTATGCGTAGGTATATGGATGTGGAAGAGGCGAGAAAGGTATATCAGGACCGTGCTAAATGGAAGTCTGTAGTCTCTGCCTACCCCTCTGGGGGACAGGCGTGAGTGTTTATGTTTATGTTTTTTATTCAAATAACAGTATGCAAGTTCTCTAAAATGTTTAGATGATCGTCGCTCATCACCATCAGTATGAATTAATTCAGATAACAACGTCCATTGCTACACATAGGCTACCCCATAGATTGATTTGCAGGCGCGTTAGCAAAGGCAGTTTTTTCAGCCAAATTTCGGTTTATCGATTTTTTTTATCATACATATAAAAACAAGAAAAGAAGCATAAAGTTTAGTTGTAAACCGGTTTTTGAGGTTGGCTGAAACTACAGACACTCTATGTTATAATTAATCGGATTAATACAAACATGAAAAAAACAGTTCTAGAAATTTCTGGAATGATCTATCATATGTACTAAGATAATTATATTAATAAACTCTTATTTTAACTAGAACAGATAATGGTATTATTTGTAACAGTAATCTCACATAAGCCGCATTAACACACGCTGTCATAGGCATCTTCACTCGCAGTAATAGAAATTAAAAAATGAGTGATATTAAGTTGATACTCTCTTATGCCCTTAATACCAGTGTAAATTTGTTTTACACTAATACTTCATAACCGGAGACCTTGATGCAGTGGCGAAGCTAGAGCTCCAAGCTAGAGCAAGCCCAAGATATAAATTGATGAAAATATAGATTGTTGTTTTTAGCAGTTTTATAAAAATACACCAATCTTGATCTGTCTCCACGCTTCAGTTTCATATTCAATGATGTCAAGGACGTGTTTAACAAAGCACACAGAAGGCATACTCGTACTACTGCTATATAGATTGTATTATATATCAGCAATTGCATAGCTTCGGCGGCTTTGAAGAAAGCCGTTTGGGTTTGTTTAAGCGAAAGAAAAAAATATTTACATCCAATACAATACATGAACAAAAGTAAAACACGAACAAAGTACAAACAAACTATGTAGGTACAAAAAGAAAAAAACAAAACAAATTATTTACATTCTAATGGATAAGAGATAAGATAAGATAAGTGGAATCGTCTCGCTTTCTTAAGGAAAGATTTAATTACGTTCATGTTCGCGATGGCCTAACAACGTTAAGAAACAAAGTTATAAAGAATATTGTTTTTTGTATTAATAATGAAATTACTGACAAAACGTTGAAAACGTGTATTAATATAGTTGTTTAGCATGTTTATAACTCTTAATATATTTGTATAGAATGTCGTTTTGATAACAAGTAATGTAAACAACTTTTATTATATTAAGAAAAATCGACCAATCACAGCGCGTCTTATCGTAGAACTCTCTAGAAGTTTTTTAATTAACTGCGTAATAGTTCATACTAAAAATAATGAAAATAATTTTATGTTCTAAAAGAGTTATAAATATGACATTGAATTAGCATAAGGCTTATAGATTACAGAAGTGTAGGAATATTTTGTATAATTAAACGCATTTGATAGTTATATAAAAATTAAAGAATTAATGTACCCAAATATTATGAAACTTTGGGACATTTTGTTTAATAACTTTTTTACAATGTTAATGTTTTTAGTAACCTTATAATATACTAATAAAGTACCAGACTACCGATTTAATGATGTATAGCATGTTAGTGTAGCAATTAGTTTTGTATAGAGAATATTGCAATTTATGCCATTTGTATAGTGAAAAGTTTATGCAATAAAGAGGCAAAACGGAAAATGGCAAGCGGCTCACTGTAAAGTATTGCTAAAGTCTACCTTAGGGCCTCGGGACCCAGTACCCGTAGTAGTGTGAAGAACTACCAGTGACAAGTGTAGTGAAGTGAGTGGTATCCGGTGGTAGCTGAAGTGACTAGTAGCAGTATATAGTGAATAGTGAAAGTGTTAGCTAGCCGAAAAAGGTCGTAACTGACATTCGCAGTTACATAGTCAAAGTGTTAGCTAGCCCAAAAAGGTCGTAACTGATATTCGCAGTTACATATAGTGTAAGTGTTAGCTTGCCTAAAAAGCTCGTAACTGATATTCGCAGTTACATATAGTGAAAGTGTTAGCTAGCCGAAAAAGGTCGTAACTGACATTCGCAGTTACATACAGTGAAAGTGTTAGCTAGCCTAAAAAAGGTCGTAACTGATATTCGCAGTTACATATAGTGAAAGTGTTAGCTAGCCGAAAAAGGTCGTAACTGATATTCGCAGTTACATATAGTGAAAGTGGTAACTGATATCCGCAGTTACACAAGTGATAAAATCAGCTAGTTTAGTTGATAATAGCTGCTAGTCAGTAGTGTTAGAAAACCAGCTACTACCAATAGATATTTGATACCACAGTACAGAAATCTTTTGAAATATACAGTGACCAACCAATAGTGAACAACCGTAGTTTAACAACCGTGATCAATAGTTATAAAATTTCGCGACTAATCAATCAGTCGAACCGCTGGCCACTACCTTGCTATTTGTATTTATTAATCGTGCATTTTGATTTGAACCTCAGTCCACTATATTTCAGCGGCACCCACAAAGACGGCGGTGAAAGTACCCACCGGAACCTATAGGTGTAGGACGTGAGCGACTCGCGAAGTATCTTCGACAACATTTACTCCGGAGAGTTTCGCCCGTCCGGCACATTCGTTGGTCCTTCGAGCCGGATCTATCCGTTTGTATTTCGGAACCGGGTAAATAGTCACCACCGTATTAAAACCGCAGAATTTTTCAGATTCAAGATGCCGATCACCCGTTCGCAAGGAATTGAACTGGAGAACTGGAGCTACAATTTGGGCGTCCAGATTCAA